GCAGTGTTTCTGTTGTCAAGACAATTACGGAGACCCGCTGTTGATGGATGAGAGACTTGTTGCTGTTTTGAGTTATCCAGTGTCGTATGAATCACACATCTCAAATATCACAAATATTTAAATATTAAATGTTTAAATTACAACAATATCAACAGCAACAATCGCACACAATACGCAGCCACTTTTTTTTTTTGGAACGTAAAATCACGTTCGGTGTAATCAGCCCCTATCATGCCTCTCACACAGTGATACCGGTAAATATCCGGAAAATTTTCAGAACGACTTTACCAGTAAATTTAAAAAAGCGCTGTTCACACAGGCGAGGACGTTACGGAATTTTTCCGGAAAAGACGTTCACACATCATTCCAAAATAACGGTAAATTCTAACATTATTAACCAGAAATGAGCTCTAAACGGCTGCGCTTGTATTTGTAAACATTTGACTACATCACAAACTCTGTTGATGATCAGTATTGTGAACAACTTTGATTAAAATGTATATAAATACACTTTCACATGTCGAAATGTACATCATATGTGTGTGTGGGCGTTCACTCCTTCTCGGGCACACGCGATGCGTCAAGCAACTGAAGGTAGCAGAGCTTAAAGGTAAACAAACAACGGCTTATCATAAGCATCTTATCGATAATTATTTACACAGTTGGCATTAAGAAGAACATATAAACATGATCTGACTAACATCTAGCAGCTAAATGTGTCAGGAAAAATATTCAAAGGCTTTTATTTTCATAAACCGCGCGGACGTGAATGCGTCCGACTGTACTGACTGGCTAAAGTAGACGCCTCACGTCAGCATGTTCTAGACGTGCACACGCTCTTTATGGCAATTTTCCTTCAGGGTTCACACAGCGCAGCATTCCGGCAAATTACTAGTAATGTTACATCTTCTCTTTCCGGAAAATAGCCAGAACGAATTTATCGGTATTTTCAAAAAGGGCCTGTTCACACATACAGAACTTACTGGAAAATTGACGGTAATTTTCTGGAAAAGTCTGTATGTGTGAAAGGGGCTTACTGGACATACTGGAATTTCCATCGTAGTTTGTGCATTTTTTGTTATCTAATAAAATGTTTATCCTGCTCAGTTGTGCACATAGATTTTTTTATGCAAATTTTCAAAATTGATGAGCATCTTGGTGTTACCATCACCCATTTTTTATGCTTGCATCCAAAATGCGCATTAAACAGGTGGATGAAAACAACTATTGGTGCAGGTCAACACGTAATATGTGATTCAGCATTGCAGTCACATGACAGGTGATCTCACTTTGGCCGACACTAAATTCTCCTTTAATATTTGCGCCGTCCCGATCCATATTATCAAAGCATGCCTTGTCTTTCTCTAAATGCATTTTAATATCTGTAATTGCAAATCTGGCAGGATCCCAGCGGCCCGTTCTGGCTGTGGAGACGCGGGGGGAATATTAATGCCGTCCGCTGAGCGACGGGTCAGAGCGACGCTGCTGAATTTGTGTTGGGCTCCGCTGGCTGTAATTATGAGGGTTCGCGATCACATCAAACGGGCCGCCGCGGCGACGGGGTCATCAATGGTCACGCAGAAACCCGCTGTCGACGCGCCGGGGCTCCGTCTCATCTGAAGACTTCAAAACAACATCAGCGGCTTCAAAGATGGAGATCCAGATGCGGAGCACGTCTCTGAGCAATGGCAAAAAGAGAGAGAGAGAGAGAGAGAGAGAGATTAAGAAAAGAGAAAGTGAAAAACAGGATGGATGGATGGAGGGATGGATATACCGACTGTTGACTGGAAAGATTAATGGATAGATGGATGGATGGAACAGTTGATAGATAGATAGATAGATAGATAGATAGATAGATAGATAGATAGATAGATAGATAGATAGATAGATAGATAGATAGATAGATAGATAGATAGATAGATAGATGAAGGGATGGATGGATAGATGAATGGATCGACCATTAGATATATAGACAGATAGATGGATGGATAAATAGACCAACAGTTGACTGGATAGATAGATAGATAGATAGATAGATAGATAGACAGACAGACAGACAGACAGACAGACAGACAGACAGACAGATAGATAGATAGATAGATGGATGGATGGATGCATGGATGGATGGATGGATGGATGATGGGATGGATGGATAGACCGACTGTTGACTGTATAGATGGATGGATGGAACAGTTGATAGATAGATAGATAGATAGATAGATAGATAGATAGATAGATAGATAGATAGATAGATAGATAGATAGATGAAGGGATGGATGGATAGATGAATGGATCGACCATTGGATATATAGACAGATAGATGGATGGATGAATAGACCAACAGTTGACTGGATAGATAGATAGATAGATAGATAGATGGATGGATGGATGGATGGATGGATGGATGGATGGATGGATGGATGGATAGACCGACTGTTGACTGTATAGATGGATGGATGGAACAGTTGATAGATAGATAGATAGATAGATAGATAGATAGATAGATAGATAGATAGATAGATAGATAGATAGATAGATAGATAGATAGATCTAATCAAATAGAACGACTCACGGACTGGATAATGACTCTTATGAATCCTTTCGTGTCCTCGACTCTTTAGGCACAGCCGTTTCATAAGCTGTTTGGCCTCGTCTTTATTTCTGCATCTTGTTCTTTGGCAGATCTGAATCTGCAAGTCATCCGAGCTCAATGTACCGCACACACCGAGCTAATGAAGATCCTCAGCAGGTAATGAGCGCAGGTGTCATGTCACATTTCTTCACTTCGGCCCCTACAGAGGCAGCTGAGGCTAGAAATATCCCTGTAAGAGCACTCAGAACTTCACGAACTGAGTTTGTGCGTGACTGCCTGTGTGTAACCGCGCGGTGGATTATGGGAGCCGCAGCGGCGCCAAACAAATCCTGACAGACGGCTCATTTCAGCTGCGCACAACAATTAGACAATATTTTAAAAGCCTAATTGTTTTTTAATCAGATAAAGGCACATTTAGAGCAGCTAAATGTCAATGAGGGGTTCGATTTGACAAAATAACTCTCAACCAGATTAATCCTTTTGCCTCGGATGATTCATGGTAGGCTATTTTTTTTCCTCAGTGGTTTATTTTTAATAGCTCGGGTCTCCGAGAAAAGCTTTTAATCCGTTTGCGAACATTTGTAATTAATAAACAGCAATTTACTGACCTCTGAACTTCATGAAAGTACCCGAGTGGAGTTTTTAAAAAGCATTTTATATTTAAAAATGAGCCATTTTCAAGTGCACTTATGATTGACATGCTTAAAAAGCAGTTAAGAGACTATTGTGAAAAGGATTTGAGTAATCGTTTTTATTGTGGGGAAATGGACTAATTTTTTGAACTCATTAATTTCACAGAAATAGTCAAAACACTCACTGGCCATTTTATTAGGTACATCTTATCTTTGCCTTCAGAACTGCCTTAATCCTTTGTTATCCTCCTGGAAGTAGCCATCAGAAGATGGTTACACTGTGGTCATATAAGGGTGGACATGGTCAGCAACAATACTCAGGTAGGCTGTGTTGTTAACACGATGCTCAATTAGTAATAATGAGCCCAAAGTGTGCCAAGAAAACATCCCCCACACCATTACACCAGCCTGAACCATTAATACAAGGCAGGATGGATCCATGCTTTCATGTTGTTGATGCTGAATTCTGACCCGACAATCTGAATGTGGCAGCAGAAATGGAGACTCATCAGAGCAGGCAACGTTTCTCCAATCTTCTATTGTCCAGTTTTGGTGAGTCTGTGTGAATTGTAGCCTCAGTTTCCTGATCTTAGCTGACAGGAGCGGCACCCGGTGTGGTCTTCTGCTGCTGTAGCCCATCCGCCTCAAGGTTGGACGTGTTGTGTTTTCAGAGATGCTCGTCTGCAGACCTCGGTTGTAACGAGTGCTTATTTGAGTTACTGTTGCCTTTCTATCAGCTGAAACCAGTCTGGCCATTTACGCCAACAGAACTGCCGATCACTGGATATTTTCTCTTTTTCTGACTATTCTCTGTAAAGCCTAGAGATGGTTGTGTGTTAAAATCCCAGTAGACCATCAGTTTCTGAAATACTCAGACCAGCATGTTTTGCACAACCAAACATGGCACCTTCAAAGTCACTCAAATCCTCTTTCTTCCCCATTCTGATGCTCGGTTTGCATACCAGTAGGTCGTCTTGACTATGTCGACATGCCTAAATGCATTGAGTTGGTGCCATGTGATTGGCTGATTAGAAATGTGCGTTAACGAGCAGTTGGACAGGTGAACCATATAAAGTGGGTAGTAAGTGTGCATTCATTAGCAAAGTGACTGAACAGTGTGGTGTGTCTCAATGCTCTGTATTCGGGCTGCATCAGAAACTGCATACTTCCATACTATACAGTACGCTAAAATCAGTATGCAGCCGAGTAGTATGACCGAATTCATAGAATTTGAATATTAGTATGCGAGAAGTACCAGGATGACCTACTACTTCCGGCGAGATTCTAAAGTGCGCATCCCATACATGCTGCGCCGTCCCATGATGCCCCGCGAGCGAATTTATGAATGGGAGTAAAGTGACGCAACTGACGCAGGTAGGTCACGTGATCATGACAAAATGGCAGATGTAGTACATCTGAATTCCATTCATACTGTTCACATTCATACTGTATAGAACGCAATTTTCTAACGCCGAGTAGTACGTTTAAATTTAAATGCCGTACCTATTGAGTAGTAGGCGGTTTCGGACGCAGCCTCTGTCTTTGTTTTTGTTTGTTTTTTGCTTTCTACTAAGTGATCTTTCCAGCTATACTAGCCATGAATGCATAATATAGCATTTTAAGTATTTTTGTGGCTTATTTGTTGCCTGCGTATGAAATTATTCAAAATGTACCTTTATTTTAAACACAATTATAAAATAACCTTTAATATTTACCACTTTCCCAGAAATTAACTTCAGTTTTTCTTCATTCCAAGGAAACAAACAAACGTAAAGAACAGTTTCACTTCACATTTTATTAGAATCTTTCCTATTACTTCTGCACAGATAAACATTTGCCACCATCAGTATGCAAGCCGTGTTGGGTTATTTCATTAAACCTGCCTCTCGTGACGTTTCTGTTAATGCAAGGCAGAAACTTCAAGAACAGAGGAGTACAAATGCCATTGACACACTGAGTCTAGTCTTGGAGCGGCCGTAGGCGTCGCTGACAGGTGGAAAACAACAAACGGAAGCGTTGAGACGAAAACGACAGTCGTCACATCAAAAAGGATGCGCTCGAGACGGTGTAGCAGATATAACCTCAGTACGCACTTCATCCCAAAAGATTAAAGGTGTAACTTGGATTATAAATCATTCTAATAATAATAAGAAGAATAAAAATAAACAGAAGCGCTGTCAAATTAATGCAAGTGTTCACAAGTAATGCAAAGGGAATCAATGCAATTCATCACGCCTTTTCTGTCACACGTCTTGACTTTTCATGCATTTATTTATTTATTCTGCGTCTTGGACGCTTCTTTGAACTCTTTGGCATGCTAAAGCAATCGTTTCTAAAAAGATCTGATCCGAGCCTTTGTTTCTGAATGAACCAAGATGGCCTTGAAGTGAATTCTCGATGCTAATTGGACGAGAAAACCAGTGATACGTCATGAGATCAAACAAGATGGAGAACCAACAAAAAAGGAGAAAACCAATTCAAAGCGACACCCAGACCCTTTATTAGAACGTGACATGGCATTCGATAAGACTAGAAGTTACACTGAAGAAGAATGTCGATGTTCAGGACGTCTAGTATGTACACCTCATCCCAACGCCCCTCAGTAGTCTCTGACCTCTATAGCACCTTGAGAAGGCGGATTGCGCATGTTTAACCTCACCTATGACTATACGCTTAAATGTATGCCGAACTCCTCAATAAAAACGATCAATTCCACTTGCATTTTTTTTTCCGTTAAATCTCCCGAAACTCCGTTGCACCGAAAATTATAAACCAATAAAAATAATAATCATAACAACAACAGTAAATATAATAAAAAACAGACGAGGTGAATAGTATTTCAATATCAACGTCTACCAAGTATGCTACAAAAAAAATCATTCACCTGGCGCTGAAAAACATTTTTATCGTCGATTATAGAAGTATACATGAAGACGCGCGAGATCTATCGTAATGCGTACGCTAACCCAAAAAAACAAACAAACTGTAGCTTCTGATGCTGCCATAGTTGTGATTTCCTTTATACAAATATTAAATCTATATGTGACAAAAGACGTTTAAATACTTGTTAAATCCCCGCTAAAACTCTTCCTGTGGTCCCCCCCCATCCCTCCCCGAACACTTGAGAAATATCGGAAACTGTACAGATATAGACTGGCTGTTGATCTGTGACCGGGTAGCGTGTTTTGAGTCGCGTTAGAAAAATATTTAGCACTCATTAGAGAAAAGAAAAAGTCCGTGTTAAAGTAAACAGCACATACAGTAGGTGATCGTTCCGGTGGTGGGATCTTTTCGTTTATTGAAAGAGGCGAATTGAGGGGTCGTGGAAGAGCACGGCATCCCCCCAAGGCTCTGTACTGGGTCCGTTCCGGCTTCAGTCTATAGTGACACACATGCGTCCCACGCGCACCATCAATGGGTGGGAGGACTCCGATTAGCACAACAGCGAATAAATGAAACAAAGACATGCAAGTGAATGAATTGAAAGTCTGAAAGCGTTAGCTGCTTCAATACATAGGCTCGAGGCCGGGCTCGCCGTCTTCCGCGGGAAAGTCCGACTTGAGGAGAGACTCCATGTAGGCGATGTAGCTGGAGCTGTGGGTGTAACTCTCGCTGGGTTCTGGGGGCGCTGAAACGGGTAGTGCAGCTGGTGGCAAGCAAGGGGCAGTGCTGGTGTTCGCGGTAATACTAGGGGGCAGGAAAGTGGAGACTAGCTCAGGAGGTAGCGCAGAGGGCTCGATGGCTAACGTGGGCGGCGGGGTCGGCAGACGAGGGCGTTTTGCGGCCAGAGGTTCGTCTGATGGTTGAGCCTGAGGTTGCTGCTGGTTCACGGTTGCCTGTTGAAAAGAGGATAGAATACACTGTTATTCTAGAGTGACGTCAATCACAGCGCTCTCAAATGGACCGCATTGTTAGCTTAAAAACCTTCAGGTCTGACAAACACTCAAGCTGTAAAGTGTTAAACTTGCACTTCACAATGATGAATTTCTGTGCGCAGAAAGCGAATAAAAGCTCTTACCAGACGAGACATGACCCTCTTGGGCAGCTCTTGGTCCAGAGAGTGAATCTCGCTGCGCTTCAGTAAGAGCTGCGTCTCGTCCTGAAACTCCACCTGCAAAGTAATAACAGTCCATTTAGATGGCTTGGATCCTTCCTGGAAACACTTTCCATGATATGATCCAAGTTTACTTGGAACTAGCATCGCTTCAAAGCTTTTGTTACCGTCTGCATGATGACTATCTTACCAATACCCTTGGGAAGCTGTTTTACAGGCACAGCTCTATCTACATAAATAGCAAACACAAAAACTGCAATGCATTTATCCCGAAATACACCTTTAGCACAATAAACACCAACAAGCTGCAAACTTTTAATCAGTTTGCAATCCACATCCGATTCCCAGAAGGTTTTGAGAGAGGCTTCCGGACGTCCAGTTACTGATGCTCGGTTGTGGGTGGGAGAACATACATTTAGCACTTTTTAAAGAAAAAAAGTCAGATATACAACAAAGTTTAGTGCAGGGCTGCCCAAACTCGATCCTGGAGAGCCGGTGTCCTACATATTTTACTTCCAGGACCAATTAAACGCACCTGAACTAGCTAGTCAAGCTATTTCTACATACAGTGGTTCCTTGTTAGAGTTGCGTTCTAAAAATAACCTCCAATAGGTGGAAATAATCCACTTTATTCTTTACTTTTTAATGATTATAGATGTTTTAAGGATGTGAAACCCCTCACTACACACTTTATACACTTTTCTCAACCAGGCATTAACATTTTCACTCTTTTCTGTCTCGTTTAAACACTCTCGAAGTTCAAACCTTTATAGACAAATAAGTCCAGTATTATAGAAGAGTTCCTTACGTTTATATAGCACTTTTCTGGACACTCGAAGCGCTTTACAAAGAGGGGGGGGGTCTCCTCATCCACCACCAGTGTGCAGCATCCACCTAGATGACGTAACGGCAGCCATATTGCACCAGATCGCACACAACACACCAGCTGATTGGTGGAGAGTGATGGAGCCAATTATGATATGGGGAGTGTTAGGAGGCCATGATAGACAGAGGCCAGTGGGTTAATTTGGCCAGGATGCCGGGGTTAAACCCTCTACACTTTTGTTTGAAGGGCATTCTGGGATTTTTTTAACGACCACAGAGAGTCAGGACCTTGGTTTAACGTCTCACCAGAAAGACGGCGCTCACTGAATCAAACCAAGACATTTGTTTGAGAAGAATAATTTATTTAATTACCTCCTCTGGTAACATGCCGAATCTGTTACCCTGATCTGTTCCGAGACCTTGCAATTTACAAAGTAAGCACTGGTGCTACCGCAGGTGCCTTTGACAGTGCAAAATGTTTCGTCGACATTGTTTGTTGGGAAGAAGACTTGCAGACTTGCAAAACATGCAGTACATCACTTCAGAGTCACACTGCTAGCAATTGAAGATTTATGTAGATTTGGCAAGCCGAACGCATTCTGTACTATACAGGAGACACGACACAGAGGAGATTGATTGACAATGCTCTACAGCCAATCAGGATTCAGATTACAATTCGCTAATCAGGACGCAGGACACAATGCGCTGTAATAAAAGCGTGTCAAATTGCAGTAAAAAAAAATCGGTGATACTGCAAGACTGGTGAACCGCATTATAGCGAGTGACCACTGTATATCAAATACTTCCAGGCGGGTGTGTTAAAGCAAGTTGGAGCAACTATGCAGGACACTGGCCACCCAGGACAGATTTTGGGCACTCCAGGTTTAGTGAAAGAGGCAAACCAAGGGATTGTGGTGAGGTTTGGGAAAGTGCTGAGTCCCCCAAGCAGGGCTTAATTTGTACCTGTACAAGCTGGATCTGAAACCTCTGAAATCTGATCCGGCACCTCATTTTACCAATCTTCTTCCTAACACACAGCTCTGCCCTGCCCTTCCTTTCTTCCGCAACTCCCCAACCCTCTTCACTTTCGCAACATCCCTCTATACCCACAACGGATGTGGATTTGCATCATGGGCAGGGCTTCTGTTTGCCCAGTAACTCTGTCTTCATTGCTAAATGGCTAGCATGGATTTTATTGAGAAAGTAGCTGTACTTTATGAGCTTTAGGAAGGCTGAAAAACTGCGTAGATTCACTAGGTACACCAGCTCTGAGAGTTCATCAACTCTTACAGAAACTATACCTGGATGATGGAGGTTTTTAGAGGTGCTTCCGGCTGAGCCAAGCCCAGTTTAATATACTGTCGTCCGGTGTCGACAGAAGGATTTCCCTTCGGGACACCAGCAACAGGTGCTATGTCACAATTACGCCCCTACTAGAGCAAATTCCTGATTGGTTAATTCTGCATGAAGGTCCGCTAAAGTTTAGATTTTCAAATCAAGCATTTCAAGTGAATTACGTCATCCACGCCACCTCGTTCGTGCGAACAGCATCACAGGATGTCTATTCACATCTTTCCATTTGCTTAGCATGTAAATCCCTCGCGATTGACACTTCATCTGCGTCTGGTGTGAACGAGGACACAAAAAAAGTCAGATTTAAAGCAAATGTATACAGCAAATTTAAATATTTTCGGTTTAGTGAATAGAGGTGAAGTGGGGGATCCTGGTAAAGTTTGTGAAAAAAGACCCCCCAAGGCTCTGTATTGAGTCTATTTCACCTTCAGTCTATAGCAGTGGTATCAAACTTGATTCCTAAAGGGCCGCAGCTCTGCACAGTTTAGCTTCAACAACCAACAACTCACACCTGCTTAATAGTCCAGTATTCTTGAACACCTTGATTGGTTGGATCAGCTGTGTTTGATTAGGGATGGAGCAAAACTGTGCAGAGCTGCGCAACTCCAGGAATCCAGCTTGAGACTTATGCTCTATAGCAGGGGTCACCAAACTTGTTCCCTGAGGGCCGGTGTCCTGCAGATTTTAGCTCCAACCCTAATCAAACACACCTGAACAAGCTAATCAAGGTCTTACTAAGGTATACTTGAAACACCCAGGCAGGTGTGTTGAGGCAAGTTGGAGGGTACCGGACCTCCAGGAACAAGATGGGTGACCCCTGATCTATGGTATCACTCAAGTATAATCCATGGGTGGGGGACTCAGATTAGCACAACAGTGGATTTGTTTGGGCTGCTCAATAATAGAAAAATGATTACAATTAATTGTACAATTTTAAGTGAGGTTTATTCATAAAGTAATTTCGAGAGGATCACGTGCTTATGATTTATCACGTCCGGTCTCGCATTTGCTAATCACTATCTTCCAATCATATGAGCCCTAAGCTACTATAAATAGCCTCAGTTTTCAGTTCACTTTATCTTCGTTTGGAAGAAACCCCCCTTCCTCCCCTATTCTCCTCCTTTATCTCTGATTGGGCGGCACGGCGGCCCAGTGGTTAGCACTGCGAGCCCCACAGCAAGAACACTGCCAGCCCTGGTTCCACAGGACCGGTGGGTGTTTCTGTGAGGAGTTTGTATGTTCTCCCCGTGTCCGTGTGGGTTTTCCCCGGGTTCTCCGGTTTCCTCCCACCATCCAAAGACATTCAACACGTATAACAATCAAGCTTTTGTCTAACCCCTCTGTTCCCTTAGCTACCGCAGCAGGGGAGTTCTGAGATCCACCAAGCTCAGGATCCCCTCTCGCTCTGCCAACGGGAGGAAGCCCCGGGCTCGAGGAGTCCTTGAGCTCAGGGGTCTCTCCCGGGACAGCATGCCAAGCAAGCTTTTATAAATCATCAGCTAAGTGTGAACTCTTGAATCATAATTAATTAAAACGTTGAATGTCCCATAGGGCCAAAACTATTTTGATTGATTTATTTAATAATCATCAACAAAATATAATAAAAAACAAATTAAAAGTCTTCAAAACGATTGAAAATTCTAAATAAAAACTTTAAATTTCATAAATACAAAAAATACATTGGAATAAAACCACAGATATTCGTTATCCCAACTCTTCATATGTTCAGCACTAGGAGATGAATCGAAAGTTCGTCTACAGAAAGAATAGATTACATATTTCTTCTGTAACACTAAAATGCGATCCTACTGCTCTGGGTGCAGCAGCATTTATCCCAGAACACTCCATAAGAAAACGCTCTTATTTTTGGAACAGAAGAGCAACCAGCCACCCGACGTAACAAGCTGCAAAACTTTCAACCAGTCTGCAATCAACACCCGATTCCCAGATCAATTCCCGGCGGCTTCGAGACCTGTCAGACTCCCAGACATCCAGTTACTGATGGCCTGTGGTGGGTGGGAGAACATCTGACTCGTCTGGCGAAAAGGTAAAAGAAAAAGTGACGTCATGCAAGTTGTTATGGAGTGCCGTGACTCACAAGGAGCTGATAAATAATGGAGTCTTGTGGCGGAGGAGAGAATCAAGCGCTTCGTTACTGCTGACAGTGGAGTCTCTCAAGAGTTCAGCCGAGCAATGAAACAGCACACTGAGAGAATGTGTGTGTGTGTGTGTTGGGGTTTTAATGAGAGCGAATCCGACGTGAAGCAAAACTAGTTCATCCAATGTGTCAAACAATGCATTAACACAGCTTGGTAAGAGTCTTTTTTTTGGGGGAGGAAAGCGAGTTTCTGAGTCATTTTCCATTTAAATGTGACCCAAATGTTCAGGAAAACATGGCTCTATCTTTGAGCAACAACACAAACGCTCTTCCTGTGATGGAGCTAGCATGTCTGCGTGAACTAGCAGATGAATGACGGTCTACTCTGGCTGTCTGCGCTCCATCACACCTCATAAGCTTCATGTACAGACTCCATAAATCCCCCGTGCAGCACACCTCCCCTTGTTGTCTCGTTTTGCCATTAATCTCTCTTCCTCTCTGCTCGGCACGTCTAGATATCCTCTAGGTATAATGAAAGCTAACTTTGCACCAAATATTGGGGTTTTCGTCAACCAAATCGATGACTAAATGTCAACAACCCTGGTGAAAATGAGATGAAAACACATGCTGGTCATGTGACGATGACTGTAATTAAATTCATAATGCATATAAATGTGATTTCAAGAGTTTACACTTAGATATGCTTGGCAATAATAGCAGATTTGGCATGCTGTCCCAAGAGAGCACCCTGAGCTCAGAGATAATTGAGCCCAAGGCTCCCGCCTGGTCAATAAGTATATAAAGAGGGTCCGAGATCAGGTAGGTCTCTAGAGCTCCCCCTTGAAAAGGGAGTAAAAGGAGGAGATGGGGTGGAAAGGGGGATTCTTTCAAAACGAAGATAGAGCAGTAAGGAGAAATCGGTCTATTTATTGCAAACTTGGATCAATTTTATTGGATTATTACTGATTACGGATGAGAAGCCAGCCGTGACTGATCATATCACGTGCTCCTCTCGAAATTAGTTTATAAAAACTCCACCTACAAAATAAAAGCTATGCTAAAATGTCTTTATTTTCGTAGACTAAGACGAGACAAAACGTTCTAAAGTTTTTTCATTTTGTTTAGTCGTGTGATTATTGTTATTTTGCACTAAGTTCGCACTGCACAGCCGATGTCACTTCCTCAAGCCACACTTGTGGCATTATTTAGAGGACGACAACAAACAAAGATAAGTCTGAAACAGAGAACGGGACCTGTTTGTGTGTGTGATGTCAACATATTTTATTATAAAGCTGTGAAAATGCGAGGTGGTTAGGGTTACCAGAGGTGGAAAGTAACGAATTACATTTACTTGCGTTACTGTAATTGAGTAGTATTTTTGTGAATTTTTTACTTGCGTCGTGTTTAAATTCGGTAATTTTACTTATGTATGTTTTACCTCAAGTAAGGCAACTATACACAATACACAGGGTTTTTTTTTTAGATTTAAAGGTCCCGGGAAGTGCTTCGAAATATGCATTTTTATTCGATGTTTGAGGTAATCTCAACCGAAACACAGTGTAGCTCCTCCCCTTTTTAAAAACAGCCAATAGCATTTTGTTTTATCACAGCTCTGCCAGCTAGAGTGGTTGAGCTCAAGTGCACCAAATGAGAAGCGTTGTGTAGGGGGAGGGGCATATCAGATAGAGAACATTTGATTGGTCATGATTTGATGAGAAACTGAAGTGTGAAGTGTCGTGAATAAAACCGTTGATCCATTTAGGCCAGAGGTGTCCAAACTCGGTCCTGGGGGGCCGGTGTCCTGCAGATTTTAGCTTCAACTGACCTGCAAGAATGTTTCTAGAAAGCAGAGTAAGAGCTTGATTAGCTAGGCCAGCTGTGTCTGATTGGGGTTGGAACTAAACTTTGTAGGACACCGGCCCTCCAGGACCGAGTCTGGACATCCCTGATTGAGGCAAAAGTTAAAAACTACTAGCTGTAAATGTTTATATCAGTTTTATATTTTCTAAATTTTGTCACTGTATTGGGTCACACGAGCTTATAGAAATCTTAAAAACTAACAATACTGATGCTAACATCTAAAAACTTGATTTTAATTTCATGGGACCTTTAAATTTTTTAATCCTGAATCCAGTTTGAATTCATGCAATATTCAACAATTATATTTGTCATTTTCTGGCCTTTGTTTTTGGTCTTTCACTTCAAATAAAAACAACTGATTTGAGATTTATATCCCCTTGTTCTTTATGAACCAACATTACACACAAATTCCTCCATGCCAGCTAAAGAAATAGTTACTCAACACAATTTTACCCTCGAGTACATTTTAAAGAGCTGATTTTTACTTTTACTTGAGTTGATTTACAGACATGTAACTTTACATTTACTTAAGTAACATTTTATTGAAGTAACTGTACTTGAGTAGAATATTTTAGTACTCTCTCCACCTCTTAAAGGGGTTTAACTGCTCACTAAAACTCACTGCTAATAGAAAAACAACTTTAAAATTTAAATTTCTAAAGCTGTTTCATCTATACTACTAAGTGCTTATACTATATTGACTGCTAAAAGAGTTGTATTGCTAAAAAGAGACTAAAAACATTATTATTGACTAAAACTTGACTGTTATCGGTTTTTGTCGACTAAAACTAGACAAAAATGGATAATTCTGACTACAATAAGACTGAAATGCTCAGAGTTTTATTTAACTAAAACTTAACTAGACTAAAGGAGGATAATTAGTTTGACTAAAACTAATAAGAACTAGAATGAAAGCTTCTCACAAAGACTAGACTAAAATTAAAATTAACACAGGCCACCAAATACAACATTAGCACCAAATGTGGAACTCAGACAAGGTTTAAAAACACTGGGAAGCAGGGCCGGAGTGGGACACCTTTTCAGCCCTGGAGTTTCAAGCCTCAGTCCGGCCCACCTCAGTTCATGACTGACTATATTAAAATAAGGTCATTTCCAAATCAGTTTCTAATTACACTATCACACGTTTGTTTTTTGAGAAAGCAGCTGCTTTAGAACTTCAAATGTTCAACAACCCTAACAGTGTTATATGTCTTAACAATAAAAATGAAAACAATAATACACCGTGCCGAGGATCGATCCCGGGTCCGCGGTGTCTTAACGTGCTAACCGCTGGACCACAACAGCTGTGATCAGAATGGTGATAGCGAGAAAATAGATAAAAAGAGAAGAGATGCGGTGAAGTAATGAATAAAAAGGATGTGGTCAAGTAAATAAATAAATTTAAAAAGTGTGACTGCTGAGAGCAACACATTCTGGAGCTAGGGACACCGGCCCTCGCGGCCAAAAAACGGACCGGCCCACCGGGAATTCTCCCGGTCCTCCCGATTAGCCAATCCGGGCCTGCCAGGAAGTCAACCTTAAAGATTCAGGCTTGTGATTTAAAAACTGAGTCCCCGATTTAATGCCAGTTTAATGTAAGAATCAGATGCTCTGTTTTCAGTGAGGACTTAGAGAAACTTGTTCAGGCTTTTATCAGCAGCAGGGTGGATTACTGTAACGGCCTCCTCACTGGCCTTCCCAAAAACACAGTCAGACAGTTACAGCTCATCCAGACTTGCTGCCAGGATTCAGACCAGAACCAGGAAATCAGAGCACATCCCACCTGTCCTCAGGTCTCTACACTGGCTCCCAGTTACATTCAGAATAGAGTTTAAAGTATTATTACTGGCCAATAAATCAATAAATAGCCAAGAAGCTCAATACAATACAGATATGCTGACTGAATACAAACCTAACAGATCACTCAGATCTTTAGGATCAAGTAAGTAAGTCAAGAGTTTAGTCAAAGCAGGGTGAATCTGCCTTCAACTAGCAACAGCGCCCCCCACTGCTGGATTCAGCTTCCAGAAATTAGGCACATTCACATCAAGAGTGAAAACACATCTGTTTAACTGTGCCTTTACTGAATGAGCACTGAGCTCTAGATCGCACTACATAGTCTTTGTTGTTTTTTATTTTCTTATAATTGTTTCTTTTATTCCTGTTTGTGTAAAGCACTTTGAATTACCATTGTGCATGAAATGTGCTGATTAAATAAGCTTGCCTTGTCGTAATGTAAAGTTAATAAACAACTATAAATGGAAGTTGACGCAGTTACCTGGTAGTATCGGTGGACGTGTTCCTTGATGTAAGATGCGTTGAGAACCCGTCCATCGACAGTTTTGACCACCACGAGTTCGCCCAGTTCTGGCGGGCCGTTCCGCAGGCAGTCGTGACTCTGAGAAAGAGAAATCAAGAGGCAATGAATCAAACTGATGCGCCTGATGCGAACAATCAGCATTTAGAACAATGCGATTTAAAAGACAATCACTGAACATGTTCACTACGACATCACCTGTTTACTTTATAACTGCTGGTTAACTATGCCTATGTATATAATAACTGCTAAAAGCTATTAGTTAATTTTATTTGATAAAGTCATGGTAACTAATAACCTTTGTGATTTTGGTTGTATTGCAATAATGTGCGTGTTTTGTAAAGCTGCACTGAAACAATAATTCTAGAGTTCACACTTAGCTGATGATTGACTATAAAGCTTGTCCCAGGAGAGAGCCCTGAGCTCATAAGATCCTCGAGCCCGGGACTCCCTCTCGTTTGCAAGGCGAGAGGGGAGTTTGAGCTCAGGTAGATCTTGAGAACTCCCCTGCTGTAGTAGCTAATGAACAGATAGTGATTGCTCTTAAGCGATAACTACTTACTGGGAGCATGTCTATGGTGCTGATTAGTCAATTACCTTAAGCTGCATGTTTTTGGACAGTGGGAGGAAACCAGGCAACCCCTAGAAAACCCACGAGCACGTGGAGAACGTGTAAACTCCAAACAGAAACGTCAGCTGGCTTGGTACGGGCTATAACCAGTGACGTTCTTGCTGTGAGGCAACAGTGCTAACCACTGGGCCACCGTGCCACTCATCTAGGAAAGGAGGAGGAGTAGGGGTGGAAGGGGGGGGTTCTTCAAAACTTCCGGTATTTATAGTGGCTTAGGAATCGTCCCATTTGTGAATCATAAATTGAATAATGCGGGACCGACTGCAAGCAATCATAAGCACGTGATCCTCTTAAAATTAGTTTATAAATATACTTTACTTATTGTGGACAGCACTACACAAAATATCTTGAACATTAAGTTCCAAGAGATAGTGTGTTATTTTTTATATCAAGATTACAGAGGTTTAATTATTGGATGAGCCCAAAATTATTGCAACAGGCAACCATAACAGTAGGGGTGTCAAAATTTATTGTTTCTTCGGTGCACCGCGATTCAGACGCGGACAATTCGGTATCGGTTCAGTTATAATCATAACCGGTTATTATGTACTGACGTCATTTTTCTCTTATGCGCTCTGTCACGAGGGAGGTGAGCGCGAGTATTTACAACACTCAGGAGCCAACTCAGAGCCGGCCCGTGGCATAGGCACCATAGGCAAATGCTAAGGGTGCTGTACATCCAGGGGGGCGCCAGAAATGAGCGCAGTTCAGTTGGTTTTGTTTTCAATATTCCCGACACACATTCAGTTACAGACGGCAAGAACTCAAACAACTCTTACCCTAAAAAGATCTAAAGTGTTTTTCCTACAAAAAGACAAAGCTGGTTATGTTTACAGCTGTCTTTCTTTTTTTTTTCCGCTCGACATTACGAGCACTGCTCCGTTTAAGCCCTAGCAATATGTATTTAGCCGGGAGAGCTCTCCCTGTTGCGAGGGCTTAAATATGTGTGTGTGTGTGTGTGTGTGTGTGTGTGTGTTTGTTTGGTGCTGTCTATGTTTGTGTATGTGTTTGAATGAGAGACAGTGTGGTGCTGTGTGTCTGTGTGTTTATAAAGACAGCTTGTTATTGACCTTATTCTAAAATGCGGAAGTGTGCCTGTTTTCGCGACTGTCTTAGAACTTCCGTTTCAGTCGCCTATGGGAGAAATGACAAGGACTAATAAACGGCAAAAAACGGTCAAACTACTTGCTCTACAAACAAATGTTTGCATGACTATACAGACCAAGTAGAATAATATAACAAGGAAATATCAGTTTGCAACATCAAACAGCGAAACGAGCAGTTTTTAATGTCTAAAAATGAATGGAAGTGAATGAGACCGGAAGTCCCGTGCCAAAAAGATTCAAATGGCAGCGCCCGCTCGTCTGCGGAGAATAAGGTCAATAGCCTTCCCCCTAAAATATAACACTGTATTTGGAAAGCATCGTCAATGCACTGTGATGCACTGATATATCGGATTGAACCGAATCGAAGGCATGATAATCGTAACCGAACCGTGAGACCAGTATAGGTTCACACCTCTACATAACAGCATACAGTAAGATTTTAGCCAATTTTAGAATTCTTCTGGACCAGACCTATGCATTTTATAAGGCAATAGCCCACAAGAGGTTGTGATACAGTAGGTTTATCACCATTATGACATTTCTATACATGCTGTATCATAAGCCAATGAACTCTAAGAGGTAGATCTTTTGGCTCACCAGCAGGTTCTCTGGGAAGATGTTGTCACAGTAGGATCCGTCGTCAAAGTTGACCTCGTAGTAAGTTTGTGTGCCGGTGCCGGTGATGACGCAGCGATAAAACCAGCCATTGCTGTTCCTGCCGATGACCTCCTGACCCAGAGAAAGGTCGCGAGAGCCACTTTTAGCCTGCGAAGAAAAATAAAAAACTTGACTTTGAGGAACGCATCTGATGTTTAAAGTCCACATGAACCGGAAGCTACAAACCATATTTTCGTATTGTGATGCAGTTCAAAGGAAAACTAGCAATGTGAGTTGACAAAATCAATATGGGTAGCTTTGAATTAATTTGATTTCAAAAGCTACGCACCTTCTGATTAGTCAGTTTGTGTTTGTGGCAGGTGACGGACACCACATACGGCCAATCAGCAGGCTTCATGACGACTCCGGCGAGGAGGGCGCAGGTCACGTGGAAAGACGTGGAGCAGTTGTCCTGTGAGCATTGGATACATGCGCCGAAAATCTGCTTGGTCGTCTTGTGGCAGTACACGCATTTCTGAAAAAGATAAACACAGGTGACTTTCAGTTATTCAGGACTTTCAATGACAAAATGATGATATGCATTTGTTATAAAAAAAAAAAAACTACAAAAAAAATGAGCAGGTCAATTGTAACTAGCTAATAATGACTAATGATCAAGAGCTAAAAACAACTGAATAAAATATAAATGTAAAAATGAAAATAACATATAAAATATAACAATAAAAATACATAAATACACACACACACACACACACACACACACACACACACACATATATATATATATATATATATATATATATATATATATATAGCTAAAATAAACAGAACAAACCATTAAATAAGGAGAAAAATAAATCAAATTAATCACAAAAAAACTAGAGAAGCCAAATGAGGGAGGAAATATTGAAGAACCACAAGAAAACAAAAACCAAAATAAATAAAAAAGTAGATGGAGAGAACAAAGCTGATGTGTGAAAAATGTTGTGAAACAAACTAACTAAATGCGCAAAATGCTACAAAAAAGTACAAAAAAGCCAAATTAAATAAACAGAACAAATCAACAAATAAGGGAAAATACAACAAATTAACTAACAAAGTAAATAAGAAAAATAAACCCCAAAACAATCAATGAAAAAAGTTGAATAACTAAAAAAAACAAATAATAAATAATAATAAAAGAAAAAAAAATTGAAAACAATTAGAAACAGAACAAACCAATAAACATAACAAATAAACTAAAACAAACAATCAACGAAAAAGGTTCAATAACTAAAGAACAAACTAATAATATAAGAAAAAACAAATAAAAAATGAGAAACAGAACAAACCAATAAACAAGAGAATACAATAAAAAAATTAACTAAAACAAAGTACATAAGAAAAATAAAACCCAAAACAACCAATGAAAAAAGTTCAATAACTAAAGAACAAACTAATATCATAAGAAAAAAAAATTTGAAACAGAACAAAGCAATAAATAACAAATTAATCAAAACTAGAGAGCTAAAAAATAATAAATAAGACAAAACAGACAATCAATGAAAAATACGGAAAAACGAATTAGAAAATGACAAAATTAAAGATTCAGATTTTTTCCATTAACCTAAATGCAGAAATTAAAGCTCGATTTTGTAACACATGAACTCAATAAATGACCAATGTGTATTGAACATTAAAGCTGACCATATTATTAACCACTGCACCATTTTTCCCACCAATCCCCTCTTTCTTTCAGCCAGAAAATTTACTTCAAGAGAGCAAAAGTTTACTAGTTGAAAAATAGAAGACAACAATAAAATGTGGGGGAAAATGGATTTCTGATTCCTGCACTGACTAACATGCAGGAATTAAATCTCGATTTTGTAACACATGAAGCCAATCAATCACAAAAGGCTATTGAAGATAAAAGCAGTCCATATTATAAGACTATAAATCAAAGCTCGATTTTGTAACATATCAAGCCGATCAATGATCAATCTGTATTAAAAGTAAAAGCAGTCGATATTAAAAACCACTGCACCCTTTTTCCTGTCAATCCCGTCTTTTTCTTCATCAGAAACGTCACTTCAAGAGAGCAGAAGCTTATTTGAAGAATAACACTTAATAATAAAGCGAACATCAGTAAAACACCAGAAGAGAGTTGATTTCTGATTTCTGCATTGGCTAAAATAGAAATCAAAGCTTGATTTTGTAGCACATGAAGCCAATCAATCATGCACAGGTATTGAAAATAAAAGCTGTCCATATTTTATTCCACTGCACCATTTTTCCCGCCAATCCCCTTTTTCTTTGTGTCTGTTCTTCTCCTTCATTTCTGTACGCAGCGCCTTCAAACACGAACACACACGCAGGGATATCGACAGGAATAAAAAATTCTTTATTAAATTGTCAATACTTCATCTCAGCCCCCTGTGGCCGAGCGGCTGTAATGTACGGCGGCCTTTAGATGCGGCGCCCGTTCGGAAATATTTCATGGGCAGCTGAAAGCCTCTGATTTATCATTCCTCTGGGATTGATCACAGGACAGACCACGGACAAAAAAAACGGGAGATTTACGAGCATCGGCCTCTCAGTTATTTATTCATTCATCAAGAGCTGGCATTCCTGTTGTGTTGCGGCCAACGAGAGGATAGAGAGACTTGCTTTTAATCTATAAAACGGCGGTGAAACGGTGCAAATGTAGAGAACGAATGTTCGTATGAACATTCGCAAAACGATGATAAAACTACTGGTATTGATTTTTGCACCAAACTGCTGCATAATGGCAACTGGAAGCTAGGTTATAGGAGCATAAAAATATAAGAAACCAATTAAAGAATTGAGGAAAAATGAAGCAAAGAATGAGAAACAAATTTGTTATATTAAAAATACTAATACTAAAGTTGGAGCTAAATGAGGGGGGAAATGGATTGAAGAGCCACATGAAAACAAAAGGCAAAATAGATATAGAATAAAATCAAACAAAAAAAGGGGACGGAGAGAAAAAAACACATGTGAACTAATGAAATGTGCAAGAAAATTCAGAAAAACAACAAAAAAGATGAGCTAAATAAACAAAACAAACCAATAAAAAAGTAAAAATAGAACAAATTATCTTAATCAAGAGTAGCCTAAACAGGAAAAGAATAAAAAAAAAAACGAAAGCAAACATAATTAATGATAAACATTCAATAGCTAAAAAAGTAGGAGAAAAGCAAATAAAGTAAAATGAGAAAATGACAAAATTAACAGAAATAAAAAATGTAAAACAAAAAACAATTAAATTAATCAAAGAAACAAATAATAGAGGGATGAAAAATAGAAAAGTAGAGAATAAAAAACGAAGTAAATAATATATATATATATATATATATATATATATATATATATATATATATATATATATATATATATATACTGTATACACACACACACACACACACACAAAGCAAACAAGAGAATAGAGAGACTTGCTTTAAATCTATAAAACCACAACATTTTCTCTCTGAAATGCAGCAAAAACAGACAACTAATGTTTGTATGAACATTCGCAAAACTACTTGCATCAATTTGCACCAAACTGTAAAAAAAAACACAGAAACAAGAAAAACAAAACAACAAAAACTACAAATGAAAGAATAAACAGAAACAAAAAAATACAATAAAAATATTATTAAATAAATAAATAAATAAAAAATAACAAAAAAAGGAGACCGAGAATAAAACAGATGAAACTGAAGGATAAAAAACCAACAAAACAAATTCCGTGAAAAAATTAACAAAAGCAGGAGCAAAAAACAAACAATCAGAACAAAATGAAAGAAAAAACAAACAAGCAATACATTAAATAAAATGTATAAAGAATAAAAAATTTAATCAAACACAAAAATAAAGACATTGTAGAACAAACTAAAAGAGTCAAAGTGCAAAAAAATAAATAAATGAACCAAACAACTGAAGGAAAATAAACAAAAAAACAAAACAAATTAGGTGAAACAAAGAATAAAACAAAATCAGAACAAATGAAAGAAGAAAAAACAAACAGAAAGAAAAACAATACAATGAACACATGTAAAAATAAACAACAAACTAAAAAACACAAATGAAAATGAAACTAATAAATAAACAAACTAACAAAAAACCCACAAGGGCATCATGGTGGCGCAGTGGGTAGCATAAACGCCTCACAGCAAAAAGGTCGCTGGTTCGAGTCTCGGCTGGGTCAGTTGGCATTTCTGTGTGGAGTTTACATGTTCTCCCCGTGTTCGCATGGGTTTCCTCTAGGTGCTCTGGTTTCCCCCACAGTCCAAACACATGTGCTATAGGTGAATTGGGTAAGCTAAATTGTCCGTAGTGTGATCCGCTACGTAAAACATATGCTGGATAAGTTGGCGGTTCATTCCGCTGTGGCGACCCCAGATTAATAATAGGACTAATATTATTAATATTTAAAAAAAAATTAGGATTAATAAAAAGAAAATAAAAGAATGAAAAATAACCAAAACAGATGTGTGAAAAACATTGTAAAACAAACTAAAAGTCAAAAGAGTAAAAGAAAAACAAATGAAAGAACCAAACAACTTAAAAAAAACACACAAAACAGAAAACAAATTAAGTGAAAAAATTAATTTAAACAAAAACTGAGAGAACAAATGAAAGAAAGCACAAACAAACAGAAACGAGACAAATAATACAATGAATAAACTTAAAACTCACTAATTTTGTAAAACAAGGAAGCCAAAACGAGTTTAAAAAACAGAAAGCAGCAATAAATGACAAATAATTATAGAAAAAAAAAGTAATAAACAGAAACAAAGTGGAGAAAAATATAAAAAAATAGGAGATTAAAAAATAAATAAACGACCAGCAATGGCATTAAATAAAAAAAAAAAATGTAGAAGATAAAACTAAAGAAAAGGAACAAAAATAATGTGTTACGAAAGAGAAAAAAACTAAACCAAGATAACATGCAACAAATTACAAAAAAAATTGAAAAAAATTCAAGAAACAAAAATACGAAGACAAATAACTAATAAACTGCAAAACAATTATAAACCAAGAACAAACAACCACGATTAGAAACACATAAAGGAAACAACAAAAGCAACCAAATAAAAGAAAATACAAATAATGACCAAAACAATTATGATAGGATAAATAAACAAAAGCGTTTTTTATTGTGTGTTTTTGATTTGTTCCTCGGTATTTGTGTGTTCAGACGAGCGGTGAAAGTGGAGGACAAAACCTGCCTATATCATCAATGCAGTTCATTTAGCACAGCGAGGAACGACACCTGATCATTCAGCCATTCCACATCATTAATAATGCAGGAGAATAATTCCCTTGCAGAGACACACTGAGACAATTCACAACTCAAGATCACAACCAACAGAAAGAAGAAAAAATAATGAAATAACGAGATGAGATGAAGTAAACAACATCAATAGAGAGAAAAATAAAGAAATAAAACAAATAAACGAACAAAAATGGTAAGTAACAAAAAAGAAATGATGTAGGACATCAAAAGCAACTAAAAAGGTTCAACTTAAAATTCAATATGAGCAAAAAAGTGTACATTAACAGAAACAAAAGAGAAAGTTTGTGAAGAATAATGAAAAAGAATTTTAAAAATAAAAATAAAACAAAGACTGAAGGAATAATGAAAAAAAGGCTGATTTGTATGAGAAAAAGAAGTTAAATCTACACACAATTATACACATAAACAAAAACAAACCATTAAATGACAAAAAAGAATTAGCAGCTATCAAAGATGGTAGAAACATACGAAATCTAATAAAAAAATACAAGCAAATAAACAAAACAATCAAACGTTCAAACTAACGACTGAGCGAAAACAATTTAGTTCAATTTTGCTGTATGCAAATAACATCAAAAAAGGCTGTTATGTGTCAGAAAAGGCATTAAAAATGTTTAATGTATGCGCAATTATGCAGATAAACAAAAACAAACCATTAAACAAAAAAAACAACAACAAAAGAATAACGACAAAAAAGGTTGATATGTATCAGAAAAAACAAAGCATTTTCAGTGCTTTGACGCACAATTATACAGATAACAAAAACAAACCATTAAACGACTAAAACAATTAGCAGTTAAAAAAGAAGATGGTAGAAACATGCACAAAACAAACAAAAATCTCATTTAAAAAACACAAGCAAGCAAATAAGCAATTAAACAAACTCGTTCAAACTAACGACTGAACTGAAAAAAGTTAAATGTACACACGATTATGCGGATCAACAAAAACAAACCACTAAACGACAATTAGCAGCTATCAAAGAAGCTGATAGAAACATGCAAAAACAAACTAAATCTAATTTAAAAAACACAAGCAAATAAACAGCGAAAAAATCAAATGCTCAAACTAACGGCTAAACGAAAACAATTTAGTTTAATTTTACTGTATGCGAATAACGGCAAAAAAGGCTGATATGTATCAGAAAAGGCATTTAAAATTTTAATGTATGCACAATTATGCAGATAAACAAAAACAAACCATTAAACGGAAAAAAAACAGCTAACAAAGAGGATGACCATTAAACAACAAAAAAATTAGCAGTAAACAAAGAAGATGGTAGAAATATGCTAAGAACAAATGAAAATCGAATAGAAAAAAATGCAAGCAAATAAACGATGAAAAAAAACGCACAAATTAGTAACTAAACCAAAACTATTTAGTTTAATTTCGTTGTATGAGTTTTTGACTCACACATACAACGAAAAAATAACAGTAAAATGCTGATATGTATCAAAAAGCCCAATAAAAAAGCATTTAAAAATGTTAGATGTAAATGCAACTATACAGGTAAACATAAACAAACCATTAAACGACAAAAAACAATTAGCAGTGAACAAAGACGATGATTGAAACATGCCAAAAATCGAATTAAAAAAAAAACACAACAAGCAAATAAACAATGTAACAACTAACTGAGCCAATACAATTTAGTGTAATTTTGTAGTTTGTGTTTTCACTTACCAGACTCTTCCTGGTTTCAGGGACCGCAGTCACATCCACAGGCTCACGCTCAATAGCATTAACGAAACGAACCTCGGCTACAGCGATGGCACAGATCACGTGAACCCATCTACGAAAAACACACAAAACATACAATTTACAAATAAAGTCTATTTCGTAAATTAGCCTTATTTTAAACATACAATATGACAGAAATAATGAAATCAGACCTTTCATCTGTGGTTTTCTTTAACGCTCCTCCTCTTAAACTGCACAAACAGCAGGCCTACAAATATCAAAACAATGAATATTTATCAACAATTAACGATAACCACATATAATTAAAGATAAGTACAGATAAGTATGATAACTAGGTAATTAGGATAACTACAATAACTATGATAATTAACAATTGAGCACTGGTCACTGATCCTTCAGATAATGATTAGGTACCAACCGATAACTATCGATAATTCATAGTAAGTACCAAAACTATAGGTAATTACTGATAACTAACGATAACAACAAATATTTCCTGATTATTGCTGATAACTACCATTAATTAGCGATAACTACTATAATTAACAATTGAGCACTGATCGCTCATCCTTCAGATAATGATTAGTTAACTACTGATAACTACCGATATTTAACAGTAAGTACCAATAATATAGATAATTAATGATAACTACCGATAATTAACGATAACTACCGATAATTAACGATAATTCAACTATAACTAATTGAGCACTGATCCTTCAGATAATTAGTTAACTACTGATAACTACCGATAATTAACAGTGAGTACAAATACTATAGTCCATTGCTGATAAATACCGATAATTAAAGATAACTACAGATAATGGCTGATAACTATGTTAATTAACTAAAACTGCTGATTCTACAAATGATTAGTTAACTACCAATAATTAATGATAACTACCGACACTTAACAGTAAGTACCAACACTATAGGTAATTACTGAAAACTAATGATAACTGCAAATGTTTCATGATAATTGCTGATAACTACAGATAAATAACGATAACTACGATAATTAACAATTGAGCACTGATCGCTCATCCTTCAGATAATTATTAGTTAACTACTGATAACTACCAATATTTAACAGTAAGTACCAATAATATAGATAATGAATGATAACTACCGATAATTAACGATAACTACCAATAAATAACGATAACTACTGATAATTAACAATAACTCAACTATAAATAAATGAGCACTGATCCTTCAGATAATGATTAGTTCACTACCGATAACTACCGATAATTAACAGTAAGTACAAATACTACAGTTAATTGCTGATAACTACCTATAATAAAAGATACCTACAGATAATAACTGATAACTACGATAATTAACAAAAACTACCGATCCTACAGATAATGATAAGTTAACTGCCAATAATTAATGATAACTACCGATAATTAACAGCAAGTACCAACACTATAGGCAATTACTGATAACTACCGATAATTAACGATAACTACAGATATTTGCCGATAATTCCTGATAACTACAAATAATTACAAAAACCAAGTAATTATAACTATGATCATTACCAATAACTACCAATTCTACAGATAATGATTAGTTAACTACCAATAATTACCAATAAGCACCATCACTATAGGCAATTACTGATAATTACCAATAATTAACAATAACTACAGATATTTCCGGATAATTCCTGATAACTACAGATAATTACAATAACAAAGTAAGTATGATAACTATGATAATTAACAATAACTATCAATGCTACAGATAATGATAAGCTAACTTCTAATAATTAACGATAACTACCAATAATTAACAATAAGTACCAATACTATAGATAATTGCTGACGATATATACTGATATTTAACAATGACCATAAATTAATCATGTTTGAGTAAAAAGCGTTTCAATACTTACGGCTGTCCAAGCCACCGTAGTACACCGAGAACACATCCAGCCCTCCTGTTTTGTCTGAGGGTTGACGCCGTAACAACCTGATGGGAAAAAGAATCACAAATTAATTTTAATTATTAATTATAATGGACAAATGTGAGGTTGATGAACCGCGAAGGCTCTTAGTGGGTGCTGGTAAAGTGAGGAAAAACCTCAAAAAAAAAAAAATGATGGCACTACTCGCTGATGTAACATGCAATGTGATGGTTTATTTACAGTGTACGGTAGGGAAAACCAAAATAGCCCAAAAAAACGGCAAAATAACAAAATAAAAGAGCAAATAAACAGTAAACAAATGATATATGGCCAACCAAACTATTATACACAGACAGGTCAAAAATTGCTTACGGCACCACAGTAGCTCGCTCGCTCGCTCGTCAGATTAACTGACCCCTAATTTGAGTTTGGGGTTGCCTTTAAAAGGCAAAGCCCCGCCTTTTTGGCATAAACCAACATATACTTGTTAGAAGGTAAGTATAAACATCTGTAAATACATTTATTATTCAAAAACCTATTAAAATCCCACTAAAATAATAATAATAATAATTTCTGCTGTGCAAGTCAAAAGGCCACTTTATTAGGTACGCCTAGTAGATTGGAAAAACGTTTCCTGGTCTGATGTGTCTCCATTTCTGCTGCCACATTCGGATGGTTGGGTCAGAATTTGGTGTCAGCAACATGAAAGAATGAATCCATCCTGCTTTATATCAACGGTTCAGCCAACCTGACAATGTCTATCCCTTTATGACCACAGTGTACTCATCTTCTGATGGCTGCTTCCAGCAGGATAACACACCATGTCATAAAGCGTGAATCATCTCAGACTGGTTTCTTGAACATGACAATGAGTCCACTGTACTTAAATGGCCTCCACAGTCACCAGATCTAAATCCAAAAGCGCACCTTTGGGATGTGGTGGAACGGGAGATTGGCATCATGGATGTGCAGCTGACAAATCTGCAGCAACTGTGTGATGCTATCATGTCAATATGGAGCAAAGTCTCTAAGGAATATTTCCAGGAGCTTGTTGAATCTATACCACGAAGGATTAAAGGCAGTTCTGAAGGCAAAAGTGGGTCCAACACGGCATTAGTAAGGTGTACCTAATAATAGTGGCCGGTCAGTGTACATTCAGACATCTAAAATTACGAATCGCTGTCGAGAAAAAGCTTTGAAATCCAAAACACGTGAACGGTATTTTGATCATGCGTCTCGAAAAAGGCAGGAGAAGCTGCTGTGTTCAGTAATTACTTTGGTTTGTACTGTGGTTAGATGCAGCGCAGATCTTTCAGGAGCACACACAGGTGAAAGAGCGCACGATTGCTAAAGCCGTTTTTCTGACACGCTGTCATTTTCCACCGTCCTCGTCTTATCGAAATCACCAGCTTTCAGCAGCTGCGTCCACCAGCTAAACGCTAACAGCGGGAGCCCGAATGGCCGCAATCAGAGCCTGCGGCAGCGCTTTAATATGCACAACACACACGTGCACAAAAACACCAGGCGTTTTCATAAAGGCGGCCTGCGAGTTTGAGCGAAAGTCTGAAAAATAGCAGGACAAAGAAACGAGGCGGCGAAGACGGGTTGAGCTAACAAGCTGTCTTTCACTTCACGGAGAGCAAACAAGCTGCTGTTGGTGTTTTTTTGGGCAGTAATGGATCCAGTAGCAGTGATTCCTTATTGGTTTTTTGGTGGACGGTTTCGTTGTGGCGTTTGTGAGAGGAACTGGAGCGTTTAAAACACCTCAGGGAAACCGAGATCCGCTGTGTGTTTGGAGAAACGTACAGACTGTAAATTAGAGGAGTACAATGAATGGAGTTTACCGTAGTAAAAAGGTGTTGTTCATTCAAAACTATTTTCATTGCTTGTTCAAATTAATATATTTAAGATGAATCAACACAATTCTCCAGTGTTTTTAATGGGGACAACTTAACTGTTTTATGCTGTGCTGGTGTGTGTTTGGAGTGTCTTACAGCATATAGGCTGCACATGAAAGGAGCAAAATGTTAGGTTTTACCATAGTAAACAGGTGTTGTTGAGTGACACCTTTTAATTGTGGTTAAAAATCATGACTCAAAGTTTTGATTGTAAATAAAGAAGTAAAATGTTGTTTTTTACCATAGTAAAGGGGTGTTGTTGAGTGACATCTGTTGTTTTTTCACCATAGTAAAGGGGTGTTGTTGAGTGACATCTGTTGTTTTTTACCATAGTAAAGGGGTGTTGTTGAGTGACATCTGTTGTTTTTCCACCATAGTAAAGGTTGAGTGACACCTTGTTGTTGTTGTTGGTGTTGTTGAGTGACATCTGTTGTTTTTTCACCATAGTAAAGGGGTGTTGTTGAGTGACATCTGTTGTTTTTTCACCATAGTAAAGGGGTGTTGTTGAGTGACATCTGTTGTTTTTTCACCATAGTAAAGGGGTGTTGAGTGACAACTTTCAATTGTGGTTAAAATATTGGCTCAAAGTTTTGACAGTAAATAAAGAAGTAAAATGTTGTTTTTATCATAGTAAAGGGGTGTTGTCAAGTGACACCTGTTTTTTACCATAATAAAGGGGGTGTTGAGTGACACCTATTGTTTTTTACCATAGTAAAAGGGGTGTTGTTGAGTGACATTTTAATTGTGGGAAAAATAATAACTCAAGGTTCTGACTGTAAATTAGAGGAGTAAAATATTGGGGTTTACTATAGTAAAGGGGTGTTGTTGAGTGACACCTGTTTTTTACCATGGTAAAGGGGTGTTAAGAGACACCTGTTGTTTTTTTACTATATTATAGGGGTGTTGTTGAGTGACAACTTTCAATTGTGGTTAAAATATTAGCTCAAAGTTTTGACAGTAAAAAAGGTGTAAAATGTTGAGGTTTACCATAGTAAAAGGGTGTTGTCGCGTGACACCTGTTGCTTTTTACCATAGTAAAGGTTGAGTGACACCTTTTATTTGTGGTTAAAATATTGGCTGTAAATAAACACGTGAAATGTTGTTTTTTACTATAGTAAAGGGGTGTTGATGAGTGACACCTGTTGTTTTTTTACCATGGTAAAGGGGTGTTGTCGCGTGACACCTGTTGCTTTTTACCATAGTAAAGGTTGAGTGACACCTTTTATTTGTGGTTAAAATATTGGCTGTAAATAAACACGTGAAATGTTGTCTTTTACTATAGTAAAGGGGTGTTGTTGAGTGGCACCTGTTGTTTTTTTACCATGGTAAAGGGGTGTTGTCGCGTGACACCTCTTGCTTTTTGCCATAGTAAAGGTTGAGTGACACCTTTATTTGTGGTTAAAATATTGACTCAAAGTTTTCACTGTAAATAAAGACATAAAATGTTTTTTTATCATAGTAAAGGGGTGTTGTTGAGTGACAACTTTCAATTGAGGTTAACATTTTAACTCAAATTTTTGACAGTAAATAAAGGAGCAAAATGTTGGGGTTTACCATAGTAAAAAAGGTGTTGACGGACACCCTTTAATTGTGGCAAAAATCTTAACTCAAGTTTTTGACTAAATAAAGGAGTAAAATGTTGGGGGTTACCATATTAAAAGGGGTGTTATTGAGTGACACCTTTTAATTGTGGTCAAAATCTTAACTCAAGGGTTTGACTGTGAATTAGAAGAGTAAAATGTAGGGTTTACCATAGTAAAAGGGTGTTTTTGAGTGAAACCTTTCAGTTGTGGTCTCTGATTAATCTTAACTCTGATTATCACTTACATAAAACTTGGGTTAACAACAAAATGATTCAATAATAAATTAAACAAATAAAATTATTTTGATAATTACTATTATTAGAACAAAATCAAATAAAGCTAATGAACAAACTTTTGAATAAAACATGAGATTCAAATTGAGTGATATGAAGCAAATAATTGCACATAAAAATGGGGGAACTAACAAAGTTTAAAATGAACAAAAAACATCATTAAAAATAAAAACAAATGAATAAAAACCAAAAACAAGAAAACGATTACTGAATGAAAAAAATAAAATAAATAAAATAAATCAAAATAATAAAAAAGTTCAAATAAAGTTACAAAATATCATTAAATTTTATAAATATTTTAAAAAATATTTAACAAATTTTGTTATGTAAATTACAAGTACAAGTTTTACACAAGTACAAAAAAGGAGCAACTAAACGAAAAAAAACATGAAAAATAAAAACAAAAAAATTAATGAATGAACAAATAAATTAAATTATATCAAAAGAAAAATAAATTTTTTTATAAAAATACAAAAAATCATTACATTTTATAAATATTTACCACAATTACACTGTTTTACACAGGAAAAGTACAAAAAAGTAACTAAATAAAAAACCTTAGAAAAAAATAAAAACTATTTTTAAAAATAATGAACAAATAAATTAAATTGAATTAAAATAATAAAAATTACATAAAACACAAAATTTTAGAAATATTTAAGAATTACAAATAAAACACTGTTTTACACAAGATAAAGTACAAAAAATGAAGCAGAAAATTAAACAGACAAACAAAAGGAATGAACAAAAGTGAAGGAGGACAGAAGAAAAGAATGAATAAAAGTAAAGGAACAAAAAAACAGCACTGAAATTAATAAATAACCAAAACAGACAAACAGAGATATATCTAATGTGTTCTGTAACATTACTCATCTATCTTTCCCTTTTCACTCTTTTAACTCATTTTTAATTGTGTTGTTTTTATTTCTTATACTTATTCTGTTGTTATTTTATTATTCTATACATTGTTGATTCATGTAACACACTTTAATTTACCGTCATGTGTGAAACGCACTACATAAAAACAAATAATTCTGTGCACTGCAAGAAAACACAGACACGAAATGTATAGATTTGAGACGATGTCCACAAATATCCCTCATTTCAATCAGACGCAGGTCCTCTGCCATCAGCTTCTCCAGGCAGAAACATCAGTTTAATAAGCCGTGCTGCTGCTACAGAGAAAATCTCAAACAGAACGCGACAGAAGCGGAGGTAAAATATGAGCAAGTTTTCCTCACGACACACTGATGACTTTAATTAGCTTGACGGAGTGAAAACGGAGTGACGCTAAACTGATTAGCGGCGCTAAAAGCAGCCCAAAAACACGACGGCTCGTCTGAGAGCAATCATACTTCATAAATCAGTCACGCGGAGCGAACGACTGCTAAAGAACCACACAGATTCCAGCTTTTTTTGCGTTTATATGTATACATTTTGTACGCATAAGTTCATCCGTCGTTCTTTTGAGTGTAAAAATAATCATGTCGTCAATCCAAATGCCAAATATCACGGCCGGATGCTTCTGGAAAACAGAAAAACATCAGGAAAAGTTGGAGATTCGTTTTAAAAGCGGGCCAATCAGAGCGCGGCGTCACTTCGATGAACCGAACACTCGCAAAAAATCTGAATAGCCCGTATAAAGTCGGACTAATTGGCTACGCGGCTTACACTGGCTGGAAAACTTTGGCTGCGTAAATAAACAAGTTGAGCCTGACTGACGGTAAATTGGCTGGACTGAAGGGTCGGAGGCTCTGGAAGGGCCCGCAGAACAGATTAAGACTGAAATCAAGGCCCTTTATTAACTCGCACTGACGGAGGCATGGAGATTGGATGTTGGAGAAAGCAAATAAATAGGTGACGGATGTTGAGTGAGGAAAACTACTACCTGTTTCGGGAGGAAGGAGAGGAAATGGCTAAAATGATGAATGGAGATATTTAATAATGATGGACGTGTGGATGGTTGGATAAAAAGAGGGGAATGGATGGATTTAAAAAAACAATAAAATGCATAGATGGATGGGAAAAAATGGACAGACGGGTGGATAAAAGTGAACAGGTAAATTGATTGAAGGGTTGCCGAACAAATGGATGGATGAAAAAAAATGAAAAGATGTATGGATGGGTGGATGAAATGAAAAAGATGAGTGAATGGACAGGCTGATGGAAAAAAAATAACAGATGGATGGATTGATTAATGGTTGGAAAAAAATAAGATGGATGGATAAAGTAAAAATTGCATGGATGGATGTAAAAATGAAAGGTTGGATAGACAAATGTATAAACGTAAACTGGTGGATGGATTGATGGTTGATAAATGGATGGACGGATGAAAATTAAAATGGATATAATTAAAAAGACGGGTGAATGGACAGGTTGATGGAAAAAATTGAAAGATGGATAGACAGATAGATAAAAGTAAACAGGTGGGTGGATTGATAAATGGATGAAAAAAAATTAAAAGATTGATGGATAAATAACTAAAAAAATAAAGATGGATGGATGAATGGATGTATGGAAAAAATGAAATGACGGATGGATAGATAGATAAAAGTAAAAAAATGGATGGATGGAAAAAATAAAAAGACGGACGGACAGATGGATGGATGGATAAAATTTTAAATAAGGGTGAATGGGCAGGTTGATAGAAAATACTTAAATGGATGGATGAATTGAAAAACTGAAAAGACGGATGGACAGATGTAAAAGTAAACAGGTGAATGCACTGATTAATGGATGGAAAGAATGAAAATATTATGGATAGATAAAAGCAACAAGATGGAGGGATAAATAGAGAACATGAAAAGATGGATGGATGGATTCATGTATGGATTCAATGGATGGATGGATGGATGGAGTAAATGAATGAAGTTAAAATATATATTGACGTATTAAAAACACTAAATAGATAACTGGGTGATAAAAAAATATTATGGATGGATGGATGGATTAAGTAAATGGAGGGATGGATTGATGGATAGATTGACAAATTAAGTAAATGGATGGATGGATGGATGGATGGATGGATGGATGGATGGATGGATGGATGGACGAATGGATAAAAGTAAACAGATGGATAGATTCAGTGCTTAATGGATGAAGTAAAAAAACATGGATGGATGAAAACACTAAAAAGACGGCTGGGTGACAAAACAATATCATGAATGGGTGGAAGGATGGATGGATAGATGGATAAATTAAATAAATTGATGGATGGATGGACGAATAGATAAAAATAAACAGATGGATGGATTGATGGGTGGGTGGATGGATGGACGAATGGATAAAAGTAAACAGGTGGATAGATTCAGTGCTTAATTTGTAAATTGTGAGGTCCAGGAACAGATTGGGGCAACGGTGTGTTCAGGCACAAATTAAGCCCTGGATGGATTGATGGGTGGACGGATGAACAAACGAATAAAAGTAAACAGGTGGATGGATTAATGAGGAATGGATGGCAAAACTGTTTACATAATAAAACAATTCAAACGCAGCCCTTAATAACATGACCAACTTAATGCAAGACCTTCAGATCAAGAGTTTCCATTCATTTCAGCGTTGTTTGTGAGGTGTGTTTGCACTCACTGGCGTGGACCTGCAGGTTGCAGCCGGAGCAGGACAGCAGTACGCTGGTGCCGTCGTCTGCAATGTGGGAGTTTGAGGAAAGCGGCTCCATGTTTTCGGCTCCGGCGCTGAAGCACATCTCGGGAACCAGCGGACGAGTGCGGCAGCCGACCCGCGACACCAGACCAGACATGTCCGAGATGTGGAAGGGGTCCTTCACAGACTGAAAATACACAAAAAGAGAGTTTATTTGTTTATTCATTAACTGCTATTTAGTTTCAAATTATATCAGAGCAAGGACTTCTTCACAGTATTTCCTACAATATTTTTTATAATATAATTCCCCCTCCTTTCTTCTTTCATGTCCGCACATGTAGCAGAATGACAATAAAGCTCAACTTGACTTGAATTTAATCAACATTTAATATAATTGAATATAACGTGCATGAAATAATGCAAATAAGAAGCCAAAAGCACTTTATTAATGATGCCATATGTTATGTGTGTCTGTGTGTGAACCCATTTGGGAGTGAAATAGTGATCCTGTTTATGCATGTATTTTACATATGCAATGCGTTACCTGTGTGTACGGGCAGAAGAGCGTGCAGATGGCGCAGTACGGCTCAATGGTGGACATGGCCGCGTTGAACTGTTTCTCGGCTAGGAAGTTCGGCGAACGGTTCTGCCACAGGTCGCTGTCTTCGGGCTTCTTGCTTTCGTGAGTGACACCGCCACCTACTGGCAGCCCTGAGTAGAGCTCTGCATATCACACAGAGAAGCCATAAAGACACATGTGAGTTTTACTGTAATTTACACAATTCAGAAGTGACACATGCTACAATGGAGGGAAAAAAACTGAATGGAAAATGAATAGAAACTACCAAAAAAATAGATGGATTGATGAATGGATGGATGAATGGTGAATGGTGAATGGATGGACAGAGAAAACTACCAAAAAAAAGGATGGATGGATGCATCGATGAAATTACCAAAAAAAAAATGGATGGATTGATGGATGGATGGATAGATAAATCAAAGGATAGATGGAATATGAAAAACAATGGATGAACTACTAAAAAAATGGATGGATTGATAAATGGTAGATGGTATAATGGATGGATGGTGAATGGACGGACAGATGAAACTACTAAAAAAAATGCATGGACGGATGCATCGATGAAATTACCAAAAAAATGGATGGATTGATGAATGGATGAAAATACAAAAAAATGAATAGATGGATGCATGGATATAACTACCAAAGGGATGGATGGATTGATTAATGGATGGATGGAACTAGCAAAAATGGATGGATAAATCAAAGCATGGATGGAATATTAAAAACAATGGATGGATGGAACTACAAAAAAATGGATGGATTGATAAATGGTAGATGGATTAATGGATGGATGGATGGATGAATGGTGAATGGACGGACAGATGAAACTACCAAAAAATGCATGGACTAATGCATCGAAGAAATTACAAAGAAATGGATAGATTGATGAATGGAAGGATGGATGGATAAAACAACCAAAAATGGATGGAATAATCAAAGGATTGAATATAAAAAATCAATGGATGGATGGAACTACCAAAAAAATAATTGATGAATGGATGGATGAATAAATGGATAGATGCACTAATAAAATTACCAAAAAGCAGATGAATTGATGAACAGGTGGATGGATGAAACTAAAAAAAACTGATGAATACATGAATGGATGGATGGAACTAGCAAAAAATGGATGGATTGGTGAACAGATAAGATGGATGGATGAAACTACAAAAAAATGGATGGAAAAATCAAAAGATGCGTGGAATATGAAAACAATGAATGGATGGAACTACCAAAGAATGGATGGAACTACCAAAAAATGGATGGATGGATGGATGAAATGACCAAATAAAAAAATGGAAGGACTGATGGATGGATGGAACTACTAAAATGGATGGATAAATTAAAAGATGGGTGGCATATGAAAACAATGAATGGGTGGATGGAACTATCAAAAAAATGGATAGATTGATGAATGGATGGATGGATTAATGGATGGATGGACGAATAGTGAATGAATGGAACTACCAAAAAATGGATGAATGGATGGATAGATGAAATGACCAAATAAAAAAATAGAAGGACTGATGGATGGATGAATGAATGGATGGATGGAACTACCAAAAAAATAGGTTCATTGATGAATGGATGTGTGGAAGGATGAAGATAGATAGATAGATAGATAGATAGATAGATAGATAGATAGATAGATAGATAGATAGATAGATAGATAGATAGATAGATAGATAGATAGATAGATAGATAGATAGATAGATAGATAGATAGATAGATAGATAGATAGATAGATAGATAGATAGATAGATAGATAGATAGATAGATAGATAGATAGATAGATAGATAGATAGATAGATAGATAGATAGATAGATAGATAGATAGATAGATAGATAGATAGATAGATAGATAGATAGATAGATAAAAACAGTAGATAGATAGATAGATAGATAGATAGATAGATAGATAGATAGATAGATAGATAGATAGATAGATAGATAGATAGATAGATAGATAGATAGATAGATAGATAGATAGATAGATAGATAGATAGATAGATAGATAGATAGATAGATAGATAGATAGATAGATAGATAGATAGATAGATAGATAGATAGATGAAACTACTAAAAATGGATTGATGGATGGATGAGATGGGTGGATTAATCAGTGGATGGAACTACCAAAATATGGGTGGATAAATGAATGGCACTACCAAAAAATGGATACATTGATGAATGGTTGGGATGAAAGGATTTATGAAGCTACCAAAAAAAATTTGATGGATTGATGAATAAATGGATGGATGGATAAAACAAACAATAGATGGAATATGACAAACAATGAATGGAAATATGGATGAATGGATGGAACTACCAAAAAAAACCCACAGGGATAGAAAATGATTGCGGCTGATGAACACTAGCTGAAGAGTTTCCAGCAGACGAGTGCAGTATAATCTGAACTCTGCTGGTGTTTTCAGGTGTATTGGGCTTCTCTGATGCCCCTCGGCCCTGTGTTTTGCCTCCTGCAGTGCCAGCAGGCGGTGCAGCTTTACATCTGTCTGTCTGCTTCTAAACACACACCGACAAATCAATAACCGTCTCTCAGCCGCTGGCTTTTATACAGCGCTGATTGTTTGTGGCTGCTTTCTTTCATATGTTATTGCTTTTGCTCTTTGTGTCGGCGAGTACACTTTCGCAAACAAAACAAAAACACAAAACTACCATCTCTCCAGCAAAGCAGAACGGCTTTGAAATGAAAAAAATGAATCTAACTTTTAACAACTTTTGCTCTCGGTGGAAAAATTTACCACGAGACGTCAATGTAGGATGTCAACGAAAAGTGGAAGGTTTCTTTTGTCATTTCACGAAAATGTGAAAGTATGACATTTATGTTTCAAGAGTGACAAGAAAGTAAATAAAAAAATGTTAAATAAAAAGTTCAATAGTTGTATGAACAACTCAAAGAACATGATTGTTTTTTGCGAACGTTATTTTGATTCTTATATTTGAAATGGAGGATTGAAAAAAATTACGTAACAGCATACCTAAAATTAAATGTCGCACATCACTTCATGAAATATAAAATGAATCCATGAAATCTTTGCGGATCTTCCAACCAAAAATCTTGCAGTCAATTTAAAGCAAAAACTAATATAGGAATTGTTAAACAAACAGTTACGAACGAATAAGGTTCCTTATGGAAGTAAAAAAAATGTGATGAATATTTTGCAAAGATATTCTTACATGAGTTTTTACATGAGATTTTTTGCAAGAATGCACATACGAAGAATATAATTACGTATTTTATAAGTTTGAAAAGAAACACAAAAATTTAATAATAGTATAATAATAAACATTTATTTACGATATTTGACTTTAAGGACATCTTTCAAAACGTTAAATTAAACGTGACAATTAAAAATGATTTTATAGACAAAAAAAGTTTAGGCAGATGATGTTATGAGACATTTGCATAAAGCTTTCATAAACCTTATGTACAATAATTCATTTTACAGACATCTTTGGAATCTATTGTTATGTAAAATGTTAAATTTAACATGAAAACTATTATAAAAACGTTTATGCAACAATAAAAATAAATTTTAAAATTATTACGTAATAATTAATAAAATGGTTTTACAAATAATATCAAGTTTTCTAAGATGATGTAATGAAACAAACACAAGAAATAATGGATTCATAAACATGTACGACATTTGATTTTAAGGCCATCTTTCGAATCTGTTCATACTTAAAACGTTGAAAGCAGCGCAACAATTAACACAACGGTTATACAAACGAAAATGAGATCTACTCGGATGATGTAATAAAACATGCATGTATTAATGGTTTCATTAACTTTTATGTATGGTATTTGATTTTCAGGACATCTTTCGAAACCGTTTTTACGTAAAACTCATTTAACGTAAAACTGAAAATGTACTTTTAACATATAAAATTACGTAGCAATTAATAAAATGGTTTTTCAAACAAAATCAAGGTTTCTAAGATTATGTAATAAAATTATTGCATAAAATAATGGTGTGGCAAGGGGGCGTGGCCAAGAGCCGTGGGAACGGAATGAGGCCGCTGCGTAAGTGGATGCACCTGTTGTGCGCACCGGCCTCGAATCCCACGGAAGGAGCTCTGGACTATAAGAGGAGGAACGATGGCAGAGGAAGGCGAGAGAGGACCGGGCCCGGGCATTTTGTTTTACTTTTGCTTTCAGTTTGACGGCAGTCTCCGTGAGGAGCTGCCATCCGTTTGTTTTGGTTTAGACGGCAGTTAATAAATAATTTAAAACTGCATCGGTTCTCCGCCTCCTTCCCGGCGGCCAAAGGGCCGTTAACTTCATTACAAATGGTTTCATTGTTTTAAACATATGATATTTGATTTAAAACCATCTTTCAAACCTGTTTGTATGTAAAACGTTAAATTTAGCACAACAATTAACAGCATGTATTTACAAAAAAAAAAAAATGTTTACTCAGATGATGTTATAAAACATGCATGAAAAAATAGTTTTAGAGACTTCTGTGTATGATATTTGTTTTTCAGGACATCTTTAAAATAAAAATGGACTTTAAACAAATAAAATAACGTAACAATAAAATGGTTTTACAAACAAAAACAAGGATTACTTAGGTAACGCGTGTATGAAATATTCGATTTTAAGGCCATTTTTTGAATGTATTCTTACGTAAAACACTTAATTTAGCACAACAATTAATGAAATGGTTTACAAACAAACATTCCGATATAAATGTAATACAAGCAGTATTTACCCTCATCGCTGGAGGCCTCCTGTTTGACGATGGAGTGAGGCGAACGCATCGGCGGTTTGCTGATTGGATGCCTTCGGCTCTTCTTCACCTCAACCTTCTTCTTCAGCTTCGTGAACGGATTTGTCTAAAAATAATTTAATGAAATATTATATATGTGTATCAATCTACTAATAATCATACAAAGAAAAGATAGAAAGAGTCTCCTCACCTGCAGAGGGGCAGCTCCATTGCTCTGGTTCTGCATTTCGCTGGCGGTGGTGAACTGCTCAAACACTTCCTGGAAGGACATTTCATCTGTGAGTTGAAGCTTTTTCTTCTTTTTCTTCTTCTTTTCTCCGTTCTCCACTGGAGGATCCTGGAAATCGGCTTTTATTTCTTCAACTGATAAAGAAATGACAGGAAATAGGATCAAAACACAGTCTTGGCTTGTTGCTAGGCTTTTGGTTGCTAATGTGTTCTGAGATTTGTAGATTGCTATGTCATTGCTAGGTTAATTTAGTTGGCTGATGGGTAGAGAATTGGTTACCAAGAGGTTGAAGGTTGCAATGGCTGACCAATGCTGACTACCAGGCCTTAAGATGTTTTGGATGGTTGCTAGGGTATTTAGTGTTGTTGTCAAGCAACTGAAATATTGGTTGCTTTGGTGCTCTGGGTAGAGAATTGGTTACTAAAGGGGTTGTTGATTGTTGAAATGGCCAACCAATGCTGACTACCCAGCCTTAACCTGTTCTGGATGGTTGCTAGGGTATTCAGTGTTGTTGTCAAGAAACTGTTATATTGGTTGCTACGGTGTTCTGGAACGTTGCAAAGGTATTCAGAAAGTTTGCCAGGAAACTGCTGTAGGGTTGCTAAGATGCTCTGATTTCGTGATAGTGTTTTGTTAATGATTTCCAGGGAATGCTGGTATGGTTGCTAAGGCATAATAGGTTGTTGCTAATATATTCAGTGTGGTTGCCAGGTAATTGATATGTGGTCACTAAGGTGTTCCGGATGGTTGCTAAAGTGCTTTGAGTGGTTGCCAGGATGTTTTGAGTGGTTTCCAGGGAAGTGTCATATGGTTGCTAAGTTGTTTTGGATCATTGCCGGGATGTTACTAGATGCAACAAACAACATTTCAGTCATCCGACAGGTAAAATCGGGTAACCCAAAATAATTACGTTAAAATGCAGCTGATCTGATTAACCCTGGTCAATAAAATAAGTGCTTCACTCTGGTCTCTGGTGTTTTACTCTGATGTTTGTAGTGTTTTTCTGATATTTAACTTGGGTGTTTGCAGTGTTTTTGTATGTTTTGGTCTGGTGTTTTTACTCTGGTGCTTGTGGTGTTTTTCTGCCATTTTCTGTTGTTTTACTCTGGTGTTTCCAGTGTTTTTTGGATGTTTTGCTATGGTGTTTGAGGTGCTTTTCCTGTTGTTTTACTCTGGTGTTTCCAGTGTTTTTTTGATGTTTTGCTATGGTGTTTGAGGTGCTTTTCCTTTTGTTTTACTCTGGTGTTTGAAGTGCTTCTCTCTGGTCTCTGGTGTTTTTTCTAGTGTTTTACTCTGGTATTTGTGGTGGGGTTTTTTTTGGAGTTTTACTCTGGTATTTGTGGGGGTTTTTATGTGTGTTTTACTCTGGTGTTTGCAGTGCTTCACTCTGGTCTCTGTTTTTTTTTGTTTTGTTTTTTTGGGTGTTTTACTCGGGTGTTTGTACTGTTTTTTTCTGGTGTTTTACTCTGGTATTTATGTTTTTCTTCCATTTTCTGTTGTTTTACTCTGGTGTTTCCAGTGTTTTTTGGATGTTTTGCTATGGTGTTTGAGGTGCTTTTCTGGTGTTTTACTCTGGTGTTTGAAGTGCTTCTCTCTGGTCTGGTGTTTTTTTTCTAGTGTTTTACTCTGGTATTTGTGGTGTTTTTTTTTTTGGTGTTTTACTCTGGTATTTGTGTTTTTTTTGTGTGTGTGTTTTACTCTGGTGTTTGCAGTGCTTTACTCTGGTCTCTAGTGTTTTTTTGGTGTTTTACTCAGGTGTTTGTACAGTTTTTTCAGGTGTTTTACTCTGGTGTCATCATTTCCAAGATAAAATAAATCAGTTATTAGAATTTAGTAATTAAACTATTTTGTTAAGAAAAGTGTTGAAAAAAAATCTCTCTGTTAAAGAGAAATTGGAAAAAAAATTATTCAGGAAGGTAAATAATTCTATCCTCAGCTGTATGTTGCTGTACCTCCTCCTCCTCGAAGCGCTGCCTCGGCCTGCTCCTGCTCTTCTCTCTCCAGCGCCTCCAGCGTGAGCATGGCTTCTCTGGCCATGCGCTCGTCCCTCTGCTGGCGCCGCTGCTCGTCATGCTCCTCCACCTTGCGTTGGTACTCCTCCATGTCCAGCTCCACACCCGCCTCCATCAGCACCTTCAGGTCCTCCGGCTTCAGACGCCGAAACTGTTTCATCTTCGCCTGAGCTCTACAACACACAGCACAACCAGAGAGATTTTTGCATTTATTTATTTAATTGCATAAGTGCCTCCATTCGAGACTTTGTATTTAATTTAATTACATGAATACTTAAAATCATATTTAATGTGAACTCACTCTGGTGTTTGCAGTGCTTTTCTGCTTTTTTACTCTGGTCTGTGGTGTTTTTTCTGGGGTTTTACTCTGATGTTTTACTCTGATAAGTGTGGTATTTTTCTGCTGATTTAATCTGATCTGTGGTGTTTTTACTCTGGTGTTTGTGGTGCGTTTTTGGAGATTTACTCTAGTGTTTGCTGTGTTTATCGGTTGTTTTACACTGGTGTTTGTAGTGTTTTTCTGGAGTTTTACTCTGGTCTAGGTTTTTGTTTTTACTGGTGTTTACTCTGGTATTTGTAGTGTTTTTCCAGTGTTTTACTCTGGTGTTTGTAGTGCTTTTTCTGGTGTTTGTAGTGATTTTTCTGGTGTTTTTTTTCTGGTGTTTCCAGTGTTTTTTTTCTGGTGTTTTACTCTGGTGTTTGCAGTGCCTCACTCTGGTCTCTGGTGTTTTTCCCTGGTGTTTTAATCTGGTCTTTGTGGTATTTTACACTGGTGTTTGCTGTGTTTTTCTGGTGGTTTACTCCAGTATTTGATGTGCTTTTCTGTTGTTTTACTCTAATGTTTGCAGAGTTTCTTTTATCAAAGTGATTGTTGTTTTTCTGCTTATTTATTCAGTTTTTTGTTTTTGTTTATGTAGTGTTTTACTGTGGTGGTTTGTGGTGGTTTTCTGGAGTTTTACCCTAGTATTTGTGGTGTTTGCAGATTTTTTCTGCTGTTTTACACTGGTGTTGGTTATGTTTTTTCTGGAGTTTTATTCCAGTGTTTGCTGTGTTTTTCTGTTATTTTATACTGCCGTTTGCAGTGTTTTTTCTGGAGTTTTACTGTGGTCTGCAGCCTTTTTCTTGGTGTTTTACTTTGGTGTTTTACTCTGGTGTTTTTGGTGTTTTTTCAGCCGTTTTTCAGCCATTTTTTCTAGTGTTTTACTTTGGTGTTTGCAGTGTTTTTATGTTTTAGTCCAGTGTTTCACACTTGTGTTTGCAGTGTTTTTCTGGTGTTTTTCTCTGGTCTTTGTGATGTTTTACTCTGATGTTTGCAGTGTTTTATTTATTCTGTTCTTTTTAGTGTATTTCCAATATTTTACTCTAGTCTTTGTAGGTTTTTTCTGGCGTTTTACTTTGGTGTTTGCAGTGTTTTTTTCATTTTTACTCCATTGTTTTACTCCGGTGATTGCTGTGTTTTTCTGGTGTTTTACTTTGGTGTTTTCTGCCATTTGTCTGTTTTACACTGGTCTGTGGTGATTTTTTTGTGTTTTACTCTGGTGTTTTACACTGATATTTTAAGTTTTACTTCGATGTTTTTTATTCTGGTGTTTGTGGTGTTTTTTCCTGCTGTTTTACTCTTGTTCCCATGCATTTTTGTCTGGTGTTTTTACTCTGGCGTTCACAGTGTTAATCCACTGTGGTGTTTTAACCTGGTGTTAGTGGTACACTTTTGTAGGTTTAATCTGGTAATTGTGGTGTTTTTCTAGTGTTTAACTGTAGGATTTGTAGTGTTGTTTTTCTAATGTTTTTCTCTAGTACTCTCCTGCTGTTTTACTGTGGTGTTTTAGGTGGTTTACTGTGATATTTTCCTGTTGTCTTTCTGGTGTATGGTGTTTTGACTGGCGTTCGAAATATTATTTGGCGTTTTACTCATGTTTGTGGTGTTTTTCTTGCATTTTACTCTGGTGTTTTACTCTGTCTGCCGGGTATGCACAGTGTTTATCTGCTATTTTTCTTGTGCTTTTTCTGTTTTACTCTGGTGTTTGTGATGTACTACTCTGGTGTTTTTCTGCAGTTCTACTATCAGTGTGTTTGGGTGCGTTTACCTGCGCAGGACCTTCTCCCTAAAGGTGACTCTGTTCTTCCTCCAGTGCTCCAGCTCGGGGCTGCTCAGGCTGGTGGGCTTCAGGTGGTCCAGCACCATTGTGTCTTTACCTTGTTTCCACTGCGTGTAACGCTCCGGCTGCAGGCGGCGCACAAACACATCCATGGAGATCTTCACCATGTCCTTGCGGCACGTGCACTGAAGAATAACAATCACCACAGCATCAGCCAACAGCTACACAACACCTTAAAGCAACCAACCAATGGAAACAGACAAAAGTTCTGTCCATAATCTGATTGGATGATCATTAGCCAATAAAAATGATTTGGGATATTTAGATCACAGGTATGTGGATTGATACTTGGACCAATAAAGTAACAATGTGGGCGGGGCTAGCTGACAACTCAGACACTGATAATAATAATAAACAAATATATATTACTCATACACACACACACACAAACACACACAAAAGACAAATTATGTATTAAGAGTGTCAACAGCTGTCAACAAACAAAAAACTAAATAGCAAAACAGATTGAATAAACAAACAAACATACAGAAACAGAATGAAAATAAGCGTAAAATTAAGCACTTGCTCCAAACTGAAGAGCGAGCGTTCGTGTGATTCTGACCTGCGCCGCCATCTTGCCATAGTCGATCCAGCGCAGCGTGGCGAAGTTGGTGGACTCTGCGCAGTTGAAGCCATGGTTGAAGCCGGCATGGTACCCATACGGGAAGGTGATCATGAACTCACCCTCCTCCTGCGTGATCTACAACACAATAAAAAAACAGCACAAAAAAAATTAAAAACAACCAACATCATGAGTTTGTAGGCAACCGACGAAAAATATACCCCGTTTAATTGAAAAAAATATGTTAAAATGCGATATATATCAGCCTGATCTCACGAGGAAACTTGACTATTTTACGTTTTGTCAGTTTAGTGACTAATTCGTACAAATTTGTTCAGTCATACGAACATGTACGGTTTTAAAAAAAAGGCGAGGCACCTAATCCCGCCCCTAAACCCAACCATTACTGGGAGATGAGCAAATCATACTAAGTTGTAAGAATGAGATCATACGAGTTTATATGAATTAGCCACTAAATCAAAAAGTTACGCACTGCCGTGAGATAGCTTTGTACATACTTCTCTGACCACATTTCTAGAACTGCTCGATCGTGCAGATTTGCACTCTATAACATCAGAAAGATCCGACCCTTCTTATCTGAACATGCAGCTCAACTCCTTATTCAAGCTCTTGTTCTCTCCAAACTGGATTACTGCAACTCTCTACTAGCTGGGCTTCCAGCTAACTCTATCAAACCTCTTCAACTGCTCCAGAATGCAGCAGCACGAGTTGTCTTCAATGAACCTAAACGAGCACATGTCACTCCGCTGCTAGTCCGTTTGCACTGGCTGCCAGTTGCTGCTCGCATCAAATTCAAAACTCTGATGTTTGCCTACAAAGTGACTTCTGGCCTAGCACGTTCTTATCTGCACTCAATTCTGCAGATCTATGTGCCCTCCAGAAACTTGCGTTCTGTGAATGAACGTCGCCTCGTGGTTCCATCCCAAAGAGGGAAAAAATCACTTTCGCGAACGCTCACGCTCAATCTGCCCAGTTGGTGGAATGAACTCCCTAACTGCATCAGAACAGCAGAGTCACTCGCTATTTTCAAGAAACGACTAAATACTCAACTATTTAGTCTCCACTTCACTTCCTAATCTGCAATTGCCTCTTTGAATATCACACTAACTGTACAAAAAAAAAAAAAAAAAAATACTAATACTTCCCTTCTTAGACTTTACAGACCTGAAACTTGCCTTTAGTACTTATTCATTGTTGCTCTTAGTTGTGTAAATTGCTTCCTTGTCCTCATTTGTAAGTCGCTTTGGATAAAAGCGTCTGCTAAATGACTAAATGTAAATGTAAATACACATAACTGCAAGAGAAACAGCTTTTCTGTAGCTACTTTATGTAACAAATTATACCACAGGTCTGTTGAATCCTTGATTCTGATTGGCTGATGATCTCTCTAGGGTGTGCGGTTATTTTCTGATAAATGCACAGCTAAAGTAGTGTGGAAATATAAATTTATATCATCTAATTTCAAATTAACAATAATCTACGTATAACTAAAAAAGTTATATTCTCTGGTTTTTAATTATATTATTTCATTGACATGCCAGCTAGGAGGGTCATATAACCTTTGCCTTGCTGACTACAGGCTAAGCCAAAGTGATGCAATTATCAGTTTCACAGCATGGGGTGTCTATTGTTTTCTCTTTTCGATCAAATGGTCAGGCGGTTTCTGTCTCCAGAACATGATGAGATCAAAGCCTGAAAGAGCAGTTTACCCTGCCGACCACAACCCTTAATTTGCATGCTTTGTTTAGCCAAATCCCCTCCTCCTAAGAACACAATATAGACATGAAATCTTTGTCTCAATTTAGACTAATTCAGACTTGTGTGAGACTTGTGAGAGACTTGTGAAAGAACTTGCAGACTGCGGACCTCTAGTAGGCTCTTGCAGACACATTAGACATCTTAAAGACGCTGTATGACTGCAGATTAACCAACACGTCTCAATAAAGGAATTCTGCTTGTTTCGAGTCTCCTGGACTGGGTTCTCTCTTCTCTTTCCACTCATTTATTTTTTTACAACAGTAGTTTCGGCAGGTTTTGAGTGCATTACAGCTCCATGTCACACTTCAGGTGTGCATTATTTCATAATAATTCAATGACTCATCGTCAATAATCTTTTACTTGTACTATACAGAGCTGTTAAATGCTTGATTCTGATGGGCAATCAAGATGTGCCGTTTTTACAGGTATATGCACAGATAAAGTAGTTCCGGCTGGTTTTTGAGCGCATTACAGCTCTATATCACACTTCAGGTGTGCACTATTTCCTACTAATTCAAAGACTCATTGTCAATAATTCTGTACTTATACTATACAAAGCTGTTGAATGATGATTCTGATTGGCTGACGAGCATTCTAAGGTGTGCCATTATTTTCTGATAAACACGCAGCTAAAGTAGTTCCGGCAGGTTTTTGAGCACATTACAGCTCCATATTACACTACAGGCGTGCACTATTTCCTAAGAATTCAATGACTCATCATTAATAATTCTTTATATATACTATACAGAGTTGTTGAATGCTTGATTCTGAGAAGCTGATGAGCACTCTAAGATGAGCCGTTTTTGTTTTTTTTCTAATATATATACAGGTAAAGTAGTTCCGGCAGGTTTTTGACTGCATTACAGCTCTATATCACACTTCAGGTGTGCACTATTTCCTAATAATTCAATGACTCATTGTCAATAATTCCTTACTTATACTATTCAGAGCTATTAAATGCTTGATTCTGATTGGCTAATCATCTATCTAAGGTGTGTGGTTATTTATAAATGCACAGCTAAAGTAGTTTCAGCGGGTTTTGAGAGCATTACATCTTCATATCACTATGCTGACTAATTTAAGTGATTTCACAGCTACAAAAGTCAAAAACAATCACATCAGAACACAACAGAAGGCTTTGGGTGACACAAATACCCTCTGACACACTCCAAGTAAGAAATGTAAAGTATAGTTATGACAAAATGCAACGAGTTACAATAAATTATTTATTAAAATTCTTGCGTTTAGTTATTAAAAATATGCTGGAAGCAATCTTCGTTCGGATGAAAATTTGGAGTGTGTGTGTGTGTGTGGTCACTCCTCGTGATAAATGAATATAAATAAATGTTGATGTTTAAAGCGTTCAGTGAAGCGTCTGTGATGAAAGAGCCGATCAGAAGCGAATGAAGCTGAAAACCGCACACACACGCACATGCAAACACACACTTCAACGCTAATCTCTGCACATCCATTAGTGGATGATGGGGAAAAAGAAGAAATCTTTCCTCCTTTCTCGTTCTCCATCCATCGGCCGGACGAAGGAGGGAAAAAAAAAAGGATGATTTTAGCCGTAATTAGGGTGGAGCTTTAGGCTTGCAGTCTAAAGCTAATGAACGTTTACATTTGGCTGCGTTTGGTTTTGCGGCCTCTGAGATCTGGCTTCTCTATTACAGGGAAACTCACATTTATTAACGCTGTTTACAGAGTCATGTTTCATCTCTGCAGGTTTGGTCGAGTGCGATCACAGAAAAATAGTGCTCTCAAGGGCGTGTGTACAGGCTACGAGATTACACTATTAAAAAAATGTAAAAATATTAAATATTATATATAAAAAATTGTGCTGTGGTGTGTAAATTACGGGGAAAAAACGTAGGAGAAACAATTTAATGTTGCATTCGTTTCAAACTTCAAATACAAATGAAACGAATCAAAATTAAATAGATCAAAAATCATTATAATACATTTTTTTATATATATATATATATATATATATATATATATATATATATATATATAATTAATTTAATTCTTTAAATTTTCACCATTTAAGAAATACATATATATGAAAAGAAAGCAAATCTAATTAGTTTACAAATGTGTAATAAAATGAAACGATGCAGGGAAACAGTATTGAACACATGAGGAAAGGAAGGTTTAGTAAGGCATGGAAGGCCCAGACAGCAGCTGAAATCTCTCAGTAGTTCTTCAGCAAACCTCTGCTCTTCCTCAGTGTAAATAAATATCAGCTGCTTCAGTCCAACATCTACATTAGCAGGAGGATGAAGAGGAAAGCAGGGTGGACATTTCAGCAAGACAATGATCCAAAACACAGCCGAGGAAACTCTCAAATGCTTTAGAGAAAGAAAATCAAGCTGTAGAATGGCCCAGCCAATCACCTGACCTGAATCCAATAGAGAATACAAATTAAAGCTCGTATTTGATAGACGAGACCCACAGAACCATCAAGACTTGTACACAATGTTGAAGTCTGTAAAAACTCACACCTGAGCAGTGCGTGTGACTTCATTCCTGTTATGGTTGATGTTTTCTTTCTGTCTTTTTTTCCACCCTCCTCTCTGTTTGCTCAGCCCTTTAGGTTTCTTACTGGTTTTTCATTCTGTCCATCATCATTATGACGTTTTTCGGTTCCACCAATCCCAGGGCGAGCCGCAAGGATTTAAAGCCCCGACAGACCAGTGTGTGGTGTGCGCTCTGCCTCGGCGAACCATTTGTGCTCCACGGAATTTGTTTGTGCACTGCTTCGTCTATTCAGTGATTTGTTATCTCAGTTTACTGTGGTAATTCGAGTTTGCTTGTCGAACTTCATTGGCTTTAAGTAACATAATGTGATGGTTGTTGTTTGAGTCTAAACTAAGCTTTGACGGACTTGTTAGTTTTAAGTTTAGATTGATGTTTTGTTAGATCAGTTTGAGTGTTTTGCCACCTGTGTACTTTGAGTTTTGTAGTTTAATTAGTTTAGTTCGGGTGTTGTATACACTGAAGATCTCGGTTTTTATTTGTGTTTCTTTTGACGCCTAGTTTAGACTTTAGATTTAAGGATTGTTTTGTTTATGTCTTTGATTTGGCTTACACTTGTTGTTTTAGTTTAAAGATAATAATTGTAAATGTTTATTTCTTTTTTTCCCCCAATTTATTATTGTTACATATTGTTTCATCCGTTAAGTAAAAAGCTTAAATAAGATAAATGATTCGTGCCTTATCCTTGATCTGTCACACACATTACACCTGTCTCACCTAAATGTTACAGCATCCCAACTTCAACATCTTAAACATGCAACAATTATCTATATGAGAGGCGTCTTGAACCACTTAAACTCTGCTGCTATTTGGGGATTTCCGCCTGGATTTTGCCAACCCAAATTTAAAAGCTTCCCAAATCCACATGCAGAGGTGTAAATGCAAAAATTTGGTATCATTTTAAAGAAAACCCTTTGAATTTTCATAAAACACTATTGAAAGTGTTTAAAATAACTGTATATGTCTTCTGTGTTATAATAAACACCTAAAAAAAACAGGCGCTTTTTGTATTTTTTTTTTATAAACTCAAATTTGAAAGTGTGGCTTTTAGGTTCTGTGTGGTCTAGCGTGCTGTAATTAATTTTGGTGGTTCCTGCACATGTCTGTAATTATAGGAAAAAAGAGAAATGTCTCTTCCATAATCTATGCAAAAGTTATTGTATTCCAACTGATCGACAGGGATCGATCATTGTTTGCATATTTCACTATTCTTTTGTTTGATCAAACATAATTCACTGTGTTTGGACCCCGGCAGACATATAAAAGGATTACTTATGCACATCACCTCAAAAACAGAGGAGAATGGCCCTGAAGGGCACAGCATAAGGTAAGAGATGACAGCTGTCTGTGCTATCTGGGGCTGCTTAGTGATCATAAATGTATTGTTTTCACTTCTGCGCCGTGGAAACACCACAATTTACTCAACAACTGTTTGGCATATGAATATAATTCAGTAAAACGAATGCTAGAACTGTATGAGCACCGGCAAAAGCTTTCATTTAAGCTATAACTTGTACATGTGTCATATAAAAAAATATGAAAATGAACCGATGTAGAATACCCAGCTCGGGTATCCAAAATACTGAGTGTTTAAGTGTAAATAACTTTTATACAGTAGAATAAAAACCAAAGTGATGCATATGTGCATAAAATATAGATTCTACACTTTCAAACGACACCACTTACGGGGGTCTGGTGCAACGCTAGCCCTTTAAATCTGAAAGCGAAAGTCGATGACGTCACGGACTCGGTACCGGGTCCGCAGAGTTTAAGTGGTTAAGCTGTCTTTTAAAAATGTAAATGTACTAAATCCCCCCCCCAAAAAAGTGCTATATTCCCTTTTAATCAACAGACAATAATAACCCGCAACCAACTCAACTTTCACATGCAGCAAATCACTCAACAACAGAAGCGTGCATCGTAATGACATGCTGCCTATGTTATCTTCAAAGAGCACTCGTGCATCTGTCTGTATAGCGTATGGCTAATGGCGTTAGCGCAGTGCAAGAGCCTGAATGTGTGACTCTGCTGGATTTCTGGCTTCTCTCTGATTGTTCGCGAGCAGAAGTTTGAGCTCTAATGGCGTCCCAAGACACGCTGACACAGAGAGACAGAGAAAGACAGACAGGCTTCCAGCAGAGATCAAAACTTCAGCCCTTCATCTCCTCCAAACCCTGCATGACTCGCATCCAGAGCGACGTGCAGCGCTAAAAACTCATTAAACAGCTTCATCTGGAGATCATCTACAGCCACAACCCTACAAAACCCACTCCAGACAGTAGCTGGGTTTCCATCCTAACGTCAAGCGAATCCTTCGCAAAAAGTTTGCGCAAAATAAAGGAAAGAAAATGAATGTGAATTAGCCGATTTTTTTTTTCGGATGTTACAGTCCCTGCTGGAAAATCCAGCTTAAACCAGCTTAGGATGGTTGGCTGGTTTTAGCTAGTTGACCAGCCTGGCTTTAGAGGGGTTTGGGGCACTTCGAGACTGGTTTTCAGCCATTTCCAGCCTGGTCTTAGCTGGTCAGGCTGAAAAATGACCAGCTAAATCCAGCTAAATCCAGCTAAAACTAGCTTGACCAGCCTGGTTTAAGCTGGACATAGCAAGTTTTGGATGGCTAGGCTGGTCAAGCTGGTTTTAGCGGGTCATCTCTCACCCTGACCAGCTAAGACCGGGCTAGAAATGGCTGGAAACCAGCCTAGAAATGGCCAAAACCCCTCTAAAACCAGCCAGGTTCGACCAGCTTAAACCAGCCAGCCAGCCTAGGCTGGTTTAAGCTGTTTTTTTCAGAAGGGGTGTCTGACTGTGGTATTGGTAACCTAGCAACCAATTGTAAACAAGGCAAGCATAAAGGCATCATGGGCAGCGCTGGGTGTAATTAGTTACAAAGTATCTAATTACTGTAATTAAATTACTTTAAGGACGCTTTCAAACCTGTGAATCGATTCAGTTGTTCTGAACCACATTTCAGTTTCACGGTTTATTTTACAGAGTCCTGCTCAGCTGCGCTGGTTTGGTGGTGTTTGATGGGGTGCACGCTACATGTCTGAAGAGCAAAAAGGGATGCGGCGGGAAGGGGTAAGAAGGGTGTGCAATGTATTTGAGGACCGGGAGGGAGAGGAGCGATTACCGGGAGATTATCACTCGTTTGCGGGAATCCGGAAGTCTGTGTATTTGCGAGAGACTACAGATGTCTTAAATGACCTCCCGCCCTACTCATAATTCTCCCTTCATATAGCCGTATGCCTATTACATATCCATAAAACACTGTGACATGACCGGGCTCGGATCGTATCCTTTCTCAATACAATCGATCCGCTCCAGAGTTCGTTTCAATCGAGCTCAGACCACCTCATTCAGGCAATCTCGGACCGATTGGTTTGGCACAGATCCAATTGTGATTGCTGGATTCACATAACTCAAACGAACTGCGCAAACTGGGCAAAAGAGACAGGTTCTGAAGCAAAAGTCTAGGTGTCAATGCACTCTAAAACGCTTCCGGTGAACTGTATGCCGTTACAAAATTGGCGAATTTAAGTAGGGATGCACTGATAACATTTTTTTGGAACCGTTCCGATCTCAATACCAAAATTCTGAGTATCGATCGATTCGATCCCGATATTGTGTGTGTTTTTTTTACCCAATACAGTTTCGATAGTTCTGGTGCTCAAACAATACATCTTCTTTAGTAAAAATAACAGCCCTATAAGCCGACTGTCTATGATAGATGGCACAATCTAACTAAAAACATGATGCTTGCTATAAACTATGGGCTACAATATTTGAGCATCCATTATGGAGTTGATATGATCTGTAGTGGTCCAGCTTATGTTTCCGCTTTTAATATTAGGATATTTCTTTGAAATCTGTAATAGGCTACCACCATTGACACTAATCGTTGGCAAAATAACTTGCCTTTTAGCAAAACCTGATATTTTCCTGCAGGTTTGAAGCAGATTGCAACAGAGAAATACTGGGAAATCTCTGTAGACTGATGGCATTTCATGCTGTTCAGCCATATATTCTTAAAATGTCAGCAAAATCACCTGTTTGGTCATCACTGTAGACATTATGCTGTAGAGAATCATTTAAATGCTAGCTCTAAAGTGACTTTGGTGAATTAGTAATGGCTTCTGCTGTTCTCAGGTCAGCTCCTGATGTGAATGAATGGCTGAAGAAAGTAGTTCCTAATACAAAAGGAGTCTTTGAGACTCTCCGGGTTTGATTTAATTTGTTATATACACGTTTATGCTATCGATTTGCTGTATAAACGCAATATCACACTCATAGCAGTGCGATATGGCTGTATATCGGCACTGGTGGGACATTTAGGCACTCATATCAACACAGGCCTCCGACCAGTGCCGATACACAGCCATATCACACTGCTAGTCAACATTTTAACAAAAACAAACAAACAAAAAAAACGTTTTAAAAGCTATACACTAGACCTTGAATCACCAAACTTGTTCCTGGAGGGCCGGTGTCCTGCAGATTTTAGCTCCAACCCTAATCAAACACACCTGAACAAGCTAATCAAGGTCTTATTAGGTATACTTGAAACACCCAGGCAGGTGTGTTAAGGCAAGTTGGAGCTAAACCCTGCAGGGCACCGGACCTCCAGGAACGAGATTGGTGACCCCTGCTCTAGGACCCTATATAAACAAGTGTAACGAATGTCTAAATCATTCGTTAAAACATCTATACGCAAATCAATATAGGATTTTACAAAGCGCCGACACAGAAACGCACAGCAGAGTGTTCGTTTAGGTTTGTTTTGCCGACATGGGTTCCTGAAATCCTCATATCTGATACTCGTAGGTTTTTTCGTCCTTTTTGGCATCCTTCGACCCTCCTCTCTAACTGACAGCCAGACATCTCTACAGATTGCGTTTGACTCGATATAAACAGCTCTGCTGGTTCTGCTATGGATGCTCTGATCTCTATAAGCCCCATCAGATACGGTAACCATGGAGACGGCAACATCTCTACACACACACACCTCTTCATATACACAGAGCTATTTATAGATATTTATTCAATCAAAGTGTAAAGATGAAGATGGCTGAAGACTTCTGAAGAAATTATATTAGCATTTGAATGGAGAAAAACTTAGAAAGTATATTATTAGGGATGATTCATTTATTCATTTTCCTCCTTTATCCATCAGGGGTCGCCACAGCGGAAAGACCCACCAACTATTCCAGCATGTGTTTTGCATAGCTGATGCCCTGCCAGCTGCAACCCAGTACAGGGAAACACCCATAAACACTCAGACACAATGGCCAAATTCGTTTATCCAATTTACCCAGCTGAAAAATCCAGCTTAAACCAGCCTAGGCTGGTTCAAGCTGTTTTTTTCAGCAGGGCACCTATAGCGCATGTGTTTGGACTGTGGAGGATACCCACGCCCACACAGGGAAAACATGCAAACTCCACACAGAAACGCCAACTGACCCAGCCGGAACTCAAACCAGCAACCTTCTTGCTGTGAGGCCACATGGCTAACCACTGAGCCAACGTGTCACCTATTTGGGATTATTATTTTTTTGCTAATGATTAAAGTAGTTAACCGACCCTGTCAAACGGGATGCTGTACTTCTTGAGGATTGAGGGAGAAATGAGGGTCATCTTGTGTCGGAGAAAGGCATCGCAGCCCTGGGAGCTTCCTGGGAAAAATCCTGAAAAACAGAAAAAGAAAAAAGCAACAGATCAACACCATTAGCATGTTAGCAGTGTGTGTGTGGTCAGTATATAAAGGCATATAAATAGTTAGCATGCTAATGGTGTGCATGGTCATTATATAAATGCATATAAGCAGTTAGCATGTTATTAGCAGTGTGCATCATCATTGTATAAAGACATATTAACAGTTAGCATGTAGTAGTGTGTGTGTGGCCATTACATAAGGGCATATTAACAGTTAGCATGTTAGCAGTGTGCGTTGTCAGCATATAAAGGCATATTAACAGTTAGCATGTTAGCAGTGTGTGTAGTCAGTATATAAATGCATATAAACAGCATGTTAGCAGTGTGCGTAATCATTATATAAAGGCATATTAACAGTTAGCATGTTAGCAGTGTGCGTAATCATTATATAAAGGCATATTAACAGTTAGCATGTTAGCAGTGTGCGTAATCATTATATAAAGGCATATTAACAGTTAGCATGTTAGCAGTGTGCGTTGTCAGCATATAAAGGCATATTAACAGTTAGCATGTTAGCAGTGTGTGTAGTCAGTATATAAATGCATATAAACAGCATGTTAGCAGTGTGCGTAATCATTATATAAAGGCATATTAACAGTTAGCATGTTAGCAGTGTGCGTAATCATTATATAAAGGCATATTAACAGTTAGCATGTTAGCAGTGTGTGTAGTCAGTATATAAATGCATATAAACAGCATGTTAGCAGTGTGCGTAATCATTATATAAAGGCATATTAACAGTTAGCATGTTAGCAGTGTGCATGGTCAGCATATGAAGGCATATTAACAGTTAGCATGTTAGCAGTGTGCGTAATCATTATATAAAGGCATATTAACAGTTAGCATGTTAGCAGTGTGCGTAATCATTATATAAAGGCATATTAACAGTTAGCATGTTAGCAGTGTGTGTAGTCAGTATATAAATGCATATAAACAGCATGTTAGCAGTGTGCGTAATCGTTATATAAAGGCATATTAACAGTTAGCATGTTAGCAGTGTGCATGGTCAGCATATAAAGGCATATTAACAGTTAGCATGTTAGCAGTGTGCGTAATCATTATATAAAGGCATATTAACAGTTAGCATGTTAGCAGTGTGCGTAATCATTATATAAAGGCATATTAACAGTTAGCATGTTAGCAGTGTGCGTTGTCAGCATATAAAGGCATATTAACAGTTAGCATGTTAGCAGTGTGTGTAGTCAGTATATAAATGCATATAAACAGCATGTTAGCAGTGTGCGTAATCATTATATAAAGGCATATTAACAGTTAGCATGTTAGCAGTGTGTGTAATCATTATATAAAGGCATATTAACAGTTAGCATGTTAGCAGTGTGCGTAATCATTATATAAAGGCATATTAACAGTTAGCATGTTAGCAGTGTGCGTAATCATTATATAAAGGCATATTAACAGTTAGCATGTTAGCATTGTGTGTAGTCAGTATATAAATACATATAAACAGCATGTTAGCAGTGTGCGTAATCATTATAAAGAGGCATATTAACAGTTAGCATGTTAGCAGTGTGCGTAATCATTATATAAAGGCATATTAACAGTTAGCATGTTAGCAGTGTGCGTAATCATTATATAAAGGCATATTAACAGTTAGCATGTTAGCAGTGTGCATGGTCAGCATATAAAGGCATATTAACAGTTAGCATGTTAGCAGTGTGCGTAATCATTATATAAAGGCATATTAACAGTTAGCATGTTAGCAGTGTGCGTAATCATTATATAAAGGCATATTAACAGTTAGCATGTTAGCAGTGTGCGTAATCATTATATAAAGGCATATTAACAGTTAGCATGTTAGCAGTGTGTGTAGTCAGTATATAAATGCATATAAACAGTTAGCATAGTCATTATATAAATACATTAGCATGTTATCATTGTCAGTATATAAAGGCATACTAATAGTATGTTAACAGTGTTAGGAAGTATAAAAAGACATATTAGCAGCTAGCATGCTAGCTGTGTGCTCGGTCATTATAGAGAGGCAATATGAGTGACGCTTCAGACACAGAGGACAGAGAGACGCGCGAGGCTGATTGCTAGCATAACGTGTAATTGTGAGTTGAAGGTTAGCGCTGTAAAAGCTGCACTGAATCATCTGAAAGCCTTTAATCATCATAATTATCAGCCCACAATCCACAATATGGGTCATCATTAAACACCGGAAACGTCTGACAGTCACCGCTACAACGCTCGTCTAGCATTAGCCCTCACACACTTAAGTGGGCTTTCCTGCTTAAACATGTCAGACGGAGGGTCATTGTCATTCAGGACTGATGCGCATCTGATGTTTTGAGTCGTTTTGTACACCATCACCTTCGCTAACACTGTGCACATTAAAAATACACAATGTGCCAAAGTGCCAGGGAACACTTTTAGCGTAGCTTAGCATAGATCAATGAATCAGATTAGACCATTAGCATTAATAAAAACGTTGCTATTTTCTAAGTTGATACTCGAAATGCTACTCTAGGTAATAACTACAGAAGAGTCGAGCTTTAAATAGGAAATGGTCATCAATTGGTCATTTTTAAATGAGATGCTAATGGTCCAATCTGATTTTATTAAGTATGCTAAGCTAGGCTAAAAGCACTTCTGCCAGACTCAAAGATTGGCTGAATAGATTGAAAAAGCGTTCAACTCAACAGTTTAACTCTAGGGGAGTTATAAAGTGACCCTTTTTCCAAAAAAAAAATAAAAAATTGGAGCGTTCTTTAAAGTTTTGGTCTTTAAGGCCAATATTTGAGTCTAAGCTCATGTTTATGCTAGCCATTCAGTCCAAAAACAACTGCAATCTTAATGATTTATGAAAAAACAATGCAGTAACGAAGTTTTAAAAAAAAGTTCTATAATGTAAACCAGAGCCTCAGATGATCACAACAGATGGTAGAGCTTGTTGTGATAGTAGAGATTATAGCTTAGCATAGATCATTGAATCGGATTAGACCATTAGCATAATTGAAAAGTTGCTATTTTCTAGGTTGATGCTACCTAGAAATAGTACTCTACTTACTAACTAAAGAGCAGTCAAGCTTTAAATAGAAAAAAAATATCTAAATTGTTTGGTAATTTTTCAGTGGGATGCTAATGGGCTAATCTGATTCAATGAATTATGTCAAGCTAAGCTAAAAGTGCTTCTGCCAGACACAGATCGGCTGAATGGATTAAAAACTGGTTAGACTCAACTGTGTAACTGTAGTTTGGCTGTAAAATTTGTCTAATTCTTATTAAAAAGTGCCGTGTTCCTTTAAAATGTTAGCCTTAAAGGTCTATTTTTGAGTCTAAGCTCATGTTTATGCTAGCAATTCAGTCAAAACATCTGCAATCTGAATGGTCTATGAAAAACTACAGAAACTACGTGAAAAAGGTCTATAATGTAAACCGAAGCCTCAGATAATCACCATAGATCATAGAGCTCGTTGTGATCATAGAGACGTAGCTTAGCATAGATCACTGATAAATATTAGACCATTAGCATAAATGAAAAGTTGCTATTTTTTATGATGATACTATTGAGAAATCCTACTCTAGCCACTAAAAACTGAAGAGTCAAGCTTTAAATAGAAAAATAATCTAAATTCTTTGGTCTTTTTTGAATGAGATGCTAATGGTCTAATCCAATTCAATGAATTATGCTAAGCTAAGCTAAAAGTGCTTCTGCCAGACAGAAATTGGCTGAATGGATTAAAAAGCGGTAAAACTCAACTGTTTAACTCTAGGGGAGCTATAAAATGGGCCTATTTCCAAAAAAGTGCTGTGTTCTTTCAAAGTTTTAGTTTTTAAGGCCAAATATTTGAGTCTAAGCTCATGTTTATGCTAGCGATTCGGTCAATAACATCTGCAATCATAAAGATTTATAAAAAATCAACGCAGAAACTAAGTGAAAAAAGGTCTATAATGTACACCGGAGCCTTGGATGATCATAACAGATGGTAGAGCTTGTTGTGACTGTAGAGATTGTAGCTTAGCATAGATCATTGAATCGGATTAGACCATTAGCATAAATGAAAAGTTGCTATTTTTAATGATGATACTATTAAGAAATGCAACTCTAGGTACTAAAAACTGAAGAGTCAAGCTAGAAAATAGAAGATTATCAAAATGTTTGGGTCATTTTTGAATTAGATGCTAATGGTTTAATGTGATTCAATGAATTGTGCTAAGCTAAGCTAAAAGTGCTTCTGCTAGACACAGAAATTGGCTAAATGGACTAAAAATTGTAAAACTCAACCATTTAACTCTAGTTCGGCTGTAAAATTAGTCTAATTCTTCTTAAATAGTGCAGTGTTCCTTTAAAGTTTTAGTCTTTAAGGCCAATATTAGAGTCTAAGTTCGTGTTTATGCTAGCGATTCAATCAAAAAACATCTGCAATCTGAATAGGTTATGAAAAAACAATGCAGAAACTAAGTGAAAAAAAGGTCTATAATGTAAACCGAAGCCTCACAACATCACAACAGATGGTAGAGCTCATTATAATTGTAAAGATTGTAGCTTAGCATAGACCACTGAATCAAATTAGACTATTAGCATAAATGAAAAGTTGCTATTTTCTATGATGAAACTAGCATAAAATGCTACTCTAGGTACTAAAAACTGAAAAGTCACGCTTTATATAGGAAAACTATTAAAAATTATTTGGTCATTTTTGAGTGAGATGCTAATGGTCTAATCCGATTCAATGAACTATGCTAAGCTAAGCTAAATGTGCTCCCGCCAGACACAGATTGGCTGAATGGATTAAAAATTATTAAACTCATCTGTTTAACTATTTCAGCTGTAAAATTTGTCTAATTATTAATAGACATATTAATATATTATTAAAATATTAAATTAAACTTTTTAATTAATATAATATTAAAAAGTGCAGTGTTCCTTCAAAATGTAAGTCTTTAAGGCCAATATTTGAGTCTAAGCCCATGTTTATTCTAGCGATTCAATCAAAAACATCTGCAATCTTATTGGTTTATGAAAAAACGATGCAGAAAGGAAGTGAAAAGGTCTATAAATGTAAACCAAATCCTTAGATAAACACAACAGATTGTAGAGCTGAGCGCCGTCAGTCACAGCGACTGATAATAAACACATGGACAGACGCTCTGTCATCTGTTAAGAGCACTAGACTAATTCATCTGCGTTTATAAAAGGATATCAAGTGGAGGACTTTACAAGAAGTATCAAGAGCGGTTCAATCGCAGAGCGAGAATCTGACGGGGCTTTCCTGAACTGTGTTTAATTGTATACCTGACTCATTAAAAAATGCGATGCAAATTCACTTAAAAAAATGTAAATGAATATCTAAAAGTTCATATATATACACACACACACACACACACACACACACACACACACACACACACACACACACACACACAAAACATTTCTGTCTGGATCTCGAAACTGATTGGCTGATAGCCATGATGTTCTTAATGTACTGATGTACTTAAGTAATATCAGCATCCGTACAGCCGTACATTATTCCACCCACATACAGCCAGCAACAAGCAGACACTACAGTTTGGCAAATATTACTGCTGTTACACAACAAAATGTACTTTTGAGTTTTTTTCAGTCAAGAGTGTAGTTGTTTTGATTGCAACTACGCAGTTTATTTGCAAGAATAGTGCTTATTTTAAAATATTTACAATTTCTGAGAGACAGCTCATCGGTGACAATTGACGTTTTCTATCCTGTTTTTCCTTTAGTGACAGTTACACTGTGGTTAAATGATTAGTTAGACTGTAACGACGATGTAACCTAAAGTGTAAATAAAGTGTAACCTAAAAGAAAGATTCAAATAAATCACGCTTTATTTTAAGGTTCAATTCTCGCTATTAAAAAAACATTAATTACGGGGTTTGCCTTAATATGCTGCTTAGTATTAGTTATTAAGGTAGTTAATGGTGAGAATTGGTACTTCGACTCAAAATGTTAAATATGACATAAAGAAAAATAAAGTACATTTAGTGTATGACATGAAGTTCTGAAGGCAAAAGGGGGTCCAGCCTGATACAAGTAAGGTATACCTAATAAAGTGGCCGGTTAGTGTATTTAATTAAAAACTACATTTTTTTCCAAAAGGGTTTACACATGTATATCCAAATATATACTAACAATCAAAATAGACTCATATTAGAGTACACTAAAATAAAGGGTTTTATTGCCCAACCAAATAGAAATGGAAAGACAGGAAAGGTTGCGTTTCAGTCATTGCTGCCATATTGTTGTTTGAAAAGTGCATGTTGTGTCTTATCTTAGCGCTGCTCCTAGTGGGCTGCGTGTTAAAGTGGGCTGGGGCTGTATGTGTGTGGTTCATGGTTCTTCATCTCGCTGTAGTGTTTTGAAGAACAGCAGCGCGCACACACACACACACACACATACACACACACACATACACTCACGCACTCTCGCTGCCTCAGATCTCACACAAACACGTCTTCACATCTCACAATCCAAACAACCAGAGGGAGACGCCAGGGCTTTCCTAGACAGAGACTCCAAACTTGCAGAGGATTTTCTGCCAGCGCTGGCTCAAAACTCGTTCAGGATTATGCCTATGTTTCGTCAAAGCAATTGGGGGCGGAAGTTGAACAGGAAGCAGCATTTTAAGGGGGATGATAATAATAACCATTATTTGCTTAACCAAAAACCTGACTGTCTTTCTTTATTCTGTAAAGCACAAATGGAAGAGTTTTTCCTTACATCTTAAGATTTTTAATTATTGCACCGAATTGTCTATATAAAATAATGAGGATTATTGTTCTTTTAAGCACCTGAAATAACTCAAGTTAAATAAAAACAGGGGTTCATAAACGCTATATGCTATACTTCGGATATTTCAAGAAGTATTCCTCACTAAACATGCTAAATTAAGCATATAAACTTTACACTGTTTTGGTTCATTTTAGTCATTATAAGCCCTTAAAAGAACAAACATTCCCATTATTGTCATATAGAATATTATATTCACTTTTACGCTACTGTATCTTTAAGATTTATATATGCAAATGAGCTTGAATGCAGAGGAAGCACGTTGTGAAAATGCTCAACTGCTTTTTTTAAGTTGAGAGAATTCGTCAAGCACACCTTTAAGACTCGCATATGTAAATGAGTTTAAACGCAGCTTGAACATTTCTTGAAATATCTCCAATTCCTTATGAATCGATGAAATTGGAGCAATAAAAAACAATTTCTATTAAATTTTTTTTCACATATTTTGACACTTACCAGCAAAAAAAGCAGCTTGTACATTTTGTGAAATATCTCACTTTTTCCTTTTGCACAAAAGGAGGAAAGTTTGTAGGAAAAAAGTATACTGTATAAATCTATACGATGCATTTAAACAGCCTCTTTCCCATTTCAGCCAATGGCACGTGAGCAGCTTGTACATTTTTGTGACATATATCAAGTCTCATTCATTTTTTGCAGAAAAAAGGAAAGATTTTAGGAAAAATGTATTTACTAAGATTCCCTAATGGACCATAGTGTTTTATATTTGTGTGTAAGTATATATATATATATATATATATATATGTGTTCAAACAGGTTCTTTCCTATTTAGCCAATGGCAAAAGAGCAGCTTGAACATTTAGTGAAATATCTCAAGTTCTTGAAAGTAAGTTAAGAAGCAAACGATTTATTCCCTTCTTTAGGGATACCTTTAAACTTGTATATGTAAATGAGTTTAAATGCAGCTTGAACATTCCATTAAACATCTCCAGATCCTGATGAACCAATGAGGTTCCTACTTAATTTAATTAGTTCCCATTTAATTCTGACACTATACCTTTATCTAAATAAATAATTTAATAAATGAATGAATGAATGAATGAATGTGTTTATATATTTATATATACATATAAACTATATAAACATATATATATATATATATATATACACACACACACACACACCACACATACACACACACACACACACACACACACACACACACACACACACACACAGATACTGGCCACTTTATTAGGTACACCTGTCCAACTGCTTGTTAGCGAAAATTTCTGATCAGCCAATCACATGGCAGCAGCTCAATGCATTTAGACATGTAGACATGGTCAAGACGAACTGCTGCAGTTCAAAGCGAGCATCAGAATGGAGAAGAAAGAGGATTTAAGTGACTTTGAATGTGGCATGGTTGCTGGTGCCAGACGGGCTGGTATGAGTATTTCAGAAACTGTTGATCTACTAGGACTTTCAAGCACAAACATCTCTAGGGTTTACAGAGAATGATCCGACAAAGAGAAAATATCCAGTGAGCGCCAGTTCTGTGGGCGCAAATGCCTTGTTGATGCCAGAGCTCAGAGGAGAATGGCCAGACTGGTTCCAGCTGATAAAAAGGCAACAGTAAGAGTTCACTGAACTCAAACGACCTCCGCAGTCACCAGATCTCAATCCAATAGAGCACATTTGGGTTCTGGTGGAACGGGAGATTCACATCATGAATGTGCAGCCGACAAATCTGCAGCAACTGCTTGATGCTATCATGTCAATATGGAGCAAAATCTCTGAGGAATATATTCAGTACCTTGTTAAATCTATGCCACCAAGGATTGAGGCAGTTCTGAAGGCAAAAGGGGGACCAACGCGGTAGTAGTCAGATGTACCTAATAAAGTGGCCGGTCAGTGTGCTGCATTTAAACTGCATTTTTTCCCATTTTAGCCAATGCCAAGGGAGCAGCTTGAACATTTAGTGAAATATCTCAAGTTCTTGCAAGCAAGTTAATTGGTACAAGATTTATTCTCACTTCTTCAGGCACAGCTTCAAGACTCGTGTATGTAAATGAGCTCAGTTTTTAAATCGGCTGAGGCACGAGGTTTCGTTTCAGCTTGAAGACACGATAACAAACGGATGTGAGGTCTTACCTTGCGCCAGCCTCTCCAGCCTCTTGCCGTGCTCGGGAGGAATGGCATACCTGCGGTGAAGAGGAGGAAAAAAAAAACTAGATCAATTAATGGGATCAATAGAAAAGAGGAGAGAGAAAGACACTGGAGGGACGCGCAGCGAGACGCCTCTGAGAGAAGCAGCCTCTGATCATCACAGGCTTCTTCTGCAGCCCTCCGAAAACATAAAACACAGCCGTTTCTTTGCTCCGGGAAACACACAAAAGCACAAATTTCACCCCTATTTCACATTCAGCAGTCACACGCTGCTTTAAAGACAAAAGTGCTCAAATGTCACTAAGACAAAGCCTGGAAAATTACAGCGCGCCAGCCAATTCATTTTGCCTAATCGGCTCAAACATGCGCGCTAATAATTTTCCAGCCCAAATTGCAGACGGTGCTGCTTTAAATTTGCAATGATTTTGGTGTGGGGTGCGCTTTACTGAAGGGTTCAATTCGCTTGACGTTGTTATTGACATTGTCAGTATTAGTCTAATTATTTCCTCAAGTTTCCAGAGAGCCGAAACCCTCCTGAGGCTCCCGAACGCAAACGTGAATCCGGTGCATCACCCTTCCCTGGGTACCACCTCCAAAAATCACACAACCAGGAGGAACGCGTGCGTTTAGGACAGCGCCACACTGCCCTCTACTGGCGGCAGGTGGAGGAAAAAAAAACTGTAAGGATTTTATGGGCGAACGGCACTTTTTTTTTTTTTGGAGTTAAACACAGGCCAATTTCACAGCAGTGGTTTTCTCTACACGGACGCAGGATCATCTGAAAGTCAACTGAATACCAAGTGGACAGATTAAAAGGTTGTGTTTGTATGCAGCTGACGGGACGTGCAAGAAGAGGACTGTGCTTCATTTTAATGTGTTGAGGCTTCTTGATGAAAAAAAGTTGGAAAAGAGAGCAAATGATTGGGGATGGAAACTGAAAGAGCACCATGATTTAATGTGTGTACACTGGGACTGAATGGGAGACAAGCACAGGACCAAAAGAGACTGAATAACATGTATATATGTGGAAATATGGGGCGACTCGGTGGCGTAGTGTGTAGCACAATCGCCACACTGCAAGAAAGTCGCTGGTTCGAGCCCTGGCTGGATCAGTTGACATTTCTGTGTAGAGTCTCCCTGTGTTCATATGGGTTTTCTCCGGATGCTCCGGTTTACCCCACAGTCTAAAGACATGTGGTACAGGTTAGAGATCTGTGCGGAACTAAACTTTGAATCCCGCTCCCGCCCGCACCCACCAGGTTTTAGCCCAAAACTCGACCGCTCCCGCTTACATTCAGCATTTGTTGTCCCGCTGCCCGACCCGCCGCGCCCGATCCCGCTAAAGAGCGGGTGGGGAGAACAAAACCCAAAACCACCCAGCTATAGAGTCCAGACACCCTATAACAAGCTGTCTGTATAAACACACACACACATATAAGCATCAAGCACACACACAAAGGCAAAGCTCTCTCTCTCTCTCTCTCTCTCTCTCTCTCATTCGCGCACGCGCACACACACACACCTCTCATTCGCACATGTGCACACACACACACATAGCAACAAACCAGCTAAACACAGCATTGCGCTATTTCATTGACACACATACATACCTGTGCACGCTCGGGAGTCGGGAGCGAGATTGCTAGACGGCCCGCTCCCGTCCCAAATTAAACCCGTTACTGACCGCTCCCGCAATTTATTCGGAAATGCAGACCTCTAGTACAGGTGAATTTGGTAAGCTAAATTGGCCATAGGACTGCAACTGTGCGCTGTGTGAAACATATGTTGGATAAGTTGGCGGTTCATTGTGCTGTGGCGACCCCAGATTAATAAAGGGACTAAGCCGGAGAGAAAACTAATGAATGAATGAAATGAAGAAGTGAAAATATGGGTCTGAAAAGTGCTTAGTTTGGGGGTTCGACTTGGTGTGAGAAGAAAGGGCAAGAAAGGGCAAGCCTGGAAGGCCGGTCTACCCCCCATAGCAAATGTTTTCTGGCCCTGCTCTAGGCCACACAATAGCTGCGTCCTAAATTGCATACTTATGCACTATTCTACGCCATTTTGTAGTATAAATAGTGTAAGTAGTGCGTTCACACTGAAAACTATAAGTGCAAAAATAATAAGTGCACTTTAATTACCCGTATGATGCACTCATACAGCCGGTAAAATGAAGCGTGTAATGATGGACACTTCACGCACTCAACGACCGCAGGTTTGCTTACGTAGCGGAAGGGGCGGAGCTATCGGACGCACATGTTGAATAACTTTATTTATTTTGGATGGTGAAAGCAAAATTCTCCTACGAGAGTGATTATAGCGCCTCCCGATGGTGAATGCAATACTCACGGCAGGTATTATTTGATCATTCGGTCGTTTATTTCACTGATTTGGCAACCGTCAAACGTCATCAGGGAAACGGTTTGAATTTCCGCTTAGTAAAAAAACATTAGTGTGCCATTTGGGACGCCACTACATACACATACTATCCTGTTGAGTGTGTAAGTGCATAAGTACATAGTGCATGAGTGCATAGTGTATAGTGTGCCATTTGGGACGCAGCTAAAAAGTTTTCCCTCAGCCAAAGTATCGCAAAGAATAACAGTCCTGAAGTGGCCCATAACTGGGTTAAAGACAGGGGCCACACATGGGCCATAACCGACCTGAATCTTAGGCAACTTATCACCCTTAACTGGCCCTGAACTGGGCCAAACAGGTTTGTTATTGGTAGAGATTCTCAGCTACAAGTTCATACTTTACCCAGAAACCCCAAAAACTGAGCCATAACCCAGCCTAATGTTACCTAAACACTGTAAACAAGCGCTACACTGATCTGGGCCACACACCTCACATCCAAAACTGGCCCAAATGTGGTCACGGAGTGAAATTAGGAATTGGTCTCAGGACAGGTCTTCAAAAGTTGTCTTGAAACCAGCACTAAATATTAGAGGTGAGAATCCCCTACAGTGGCACGATGTTATCAAAATACCAGTTTGTGATACAATATTATTGTAAACTTAAATAAATTGCAATGTTTTACCTTTTTTCACCCGTAAAATGTAAGAAAAATAACAAATAAAAACAGTACGAAGCAATTGAGTGCGAATCATTGCCTTTTTTGGATGTATTACCTTTACCCAACTTTAAATTAAGTCCCCAAAAACAACTCTGTCGATAAAGGGTCACTTTATTTTGATGGTCTATTTGTTGAATTGAAGTTACTTTGCTAATTCTGATTAGTCTATAGGTAGACTGTTAGGTTAGGGTTGGGAATAGTGTAAGTGGACTTGCAAAGTCAGTTCCGTCAGTTGAATGTCTGTTGAAGGAGCAGTATCAACAGATATTAAGCAGACAGTCTACTAATACACAAATGGACCATCAAACAAAGTGTTACCCAATAAATAATATGTTATGCAAAGTTCATCTATCTCACTAAAAGTTTATTACTGCAGAGCGAAGGGTTTCATCGTCAAGAATGTTGTATGGAGCTTTCCACAATACCACCATGTCTATTTTAGAAACTTACTGCATACTCCAAAATAAAAAAACTCTCAAAACCACTAGTGAACTTCAAAAATGTATTGTAATTGTCAACTGAATAGCATAAAACATTGCTGATATATAATGATATGGGTGTCTGTGTTTCGATATACACCCCTAATAAACATGGAAGCAAGACACTTCCCATGTCTTGCATTTATTGACCGCATTGGGAACTGCCCCAAAACACCAAAGACAGAGCCATCGAGTAATCGAAAATCTTCCCGCAAGCGTCTCTTGAGCGTGAACTCTAAGGACACTGGTAGTAGTAAATTCAATATGGTGTTTGAGATGCCACCACCGATCAATAATAATTAGGTGCCTATTTCTTACAGATAAAAGCCGGATCTGATGAGTAGCGGTAATTAGGGTACAAACGCTTCCTGCCAGCAGGAGTATCTTTACACCCCAGTAACCCTGCCTGATCAAGCTGACAGTAACTCTATCTGGCAACCAAAAGTTGCAGAAGCTGGATTCGATCTGGAACTCTCTGGGGGAAGACGGCAAGTATTGACGAAAATCACACCGGGGCAGCAGAAGTCAAGCCAAATCTGTGGGGGTTCGACCTGGTGTGAGTTGAGGGGAAAGCCTCTAGTCCTTTGAGATTCCTCAAGCACCACCGGTATTAAGAAATTAACAAAAAAAAATCCAACAAACATGGTCTGAGACATGGATACTTTGGTTCCCGAGTGTATGTAAGGGATGCAACCCATTTACCTGGTTTACGACCCATGAAACAATTCTGTACTTCACTTCCCGATAGAGCTGTGAGAAGAAAAACAAACATTTATTCATGAACCATGATTCTCTCTCTAAAGATCCTGAATGCATTCCCAAAGTTTCAGAATCGATTCTGTAATTAATTTAGATACAGAAACAGCCACAGCTAGAAACAGGTCAATAATCATCGGACTAGTTTCACTTGGACAGCGTTGACCAAATGACGGTTTTACACCAGTAGAGAGGAAGACAGGAGTGTTCTGGGAGCAGAAAGAGAGGAGAAGTTTCAGCAAAGACCTCAAACTTGTGTCGCCGTGTGCAGTTTGGTAATATAGTCAGTTCACTTAACCACTAGGCTATCTGCGCCAACAGCCATGACTAAAGCCATGACATGATTTATACTTCTGCGTCAAGCGCACGCGTAGGCTACGGCACAGCCAACACGTTGACGCATAGCCCTACAACGTGGCACCTCTCAAAAAAATGTAACTACACAACGTAGTTGTGACGCGTAGTGCAAGCTCTGTGATTGGTCGGCTTGGTAGCTCTAACAAATCTGAGCGGGACTGAGAGCCGCACTAGCGGCGCGAGCCTAATGGAGCGTTTGTTTACAGGTGTGGAGTCTCATGAAGGAGCTCCAGATGAAAAGTTTTGTTTTGTGTTTACCTCATAGTTAAAGTTGTTGCACGTCTGCCGGTTCCTGCCTCAAAATGAGCGAGTTTGAGCCACTTGTACATTCAGGAAGTGTTCAGAAAGAACAAAACACAGGCGAAAAAAC